AACACACTCCGTTGTCTCGCTTTATAACAACGGCTACAATGGCTTCAACAGGACTCATACTTATTCAGCTGGTATGATTATTTTGATCGACCATGTGGAGAACACGGCGCTCCAGCTTCGTGATTATGCGCCTATTCACCATGACCTGGTTAGCTCGAGCCAGGGAAACCTACAGATGCTACCGAACAGAAATGTGTTCATCGGATGGGGCAACAATCCATTTGTATCTGAGCACGACGAGGCAGGCAATCTGCTGTTCTGGGGTGCGTTTGCCAAAGACACCGTCATGAACTACCGCGCCATGAAGTTTGAATGGGATGGGATGCCAACCGACTCACCAGCTCTATGGACCTATTCCCGCACCGCCGAGCCAATCTCTCCAACAAGCTTCTACGTCAGCTGGAACGGGGCGACCCTTGTGAAAACGTGGCGATTCTACGGCGCCATGAACCTGACCGGGCCGTGGACCTTGCTGGACGAGGTCGCCAAAACCGGCTTCGAGACAGAATACACAAACGCCAGCTTCTACCTCTGGTCCAAGGTCGAGGGCATAGACAAGGAGGGGAAAGTCCTCGGCAAGTCCGAAACAAAGTACACCTTCGTGCCCTCATCCGAACTGCGAGAATTCTGCGCAGACTCTACCTGTCTCGATGCCCCAGGCTACGGATTCCCAGGCGAAGAAGCTGCCCAGCCTTTCATCCCGCCCGTTGGCGTCAATACCGTCCCCTGGATCGACCCGGACAACCCAGGTTCCAATATCTGGACATACCCCTCAGACTACCCACACACATCAGGCACAATGACCTACTCGAATGGGTGGAACATTGGCCGATTACTCGCCTGGGGCGGTGTCTGTCTCGTGGCGATCCCCTTCTTTACTGGTATCCACTTTGCATATCGCTATTATAGCAAGCATCAGCCCGACCACCTGCGGGACCAGGAGTCCTCTGCGCCTCTCAATAGTATGGCAGAGCGGAAAGAACACCGCGTTCGGGCCACCGATCTTCCCTGGTGGAATTGGCGCAGGTGGACCAGGGAGGATGAACCTTCACACTATTTCCCGCTCCAAGAGGGGTGTTCGCATGGGAGAGAGAGGGCGGATTGATCCCGCTGTTTTACACTCTTTTCTTTCTTTTCATTTATCGTTATCTCGATTGCATCTATACCTGGGTCTCGGTTGGGTTTAGCTAAAACATGTACATACATATATCCAAGACAACAAATGTCTCTCCATCTTTTTCGGCACGTTGTAGATCTAAGCATGTAAATCGTTCCACATGGAAGATATACTTACTGATGGAGCCCACGCGGCGCCACGCAAAAACACCCATCCCGTCCACGGGTGTATCCCGTAACTTGAATTCGTAAATACCTAATACACATACCCGAAAATAACAATACATAAAGCCGACACCGACCCTTACGCAGTGTGTATACGTACCCCGGAGGCGGAGTGCAGATATTTCTATCTATTTTCGTATTGGTTACTTGATGGGGTAGGAATCTCATTAGATCTATGAATTAATACACACATTTACCAGTGAACATTGTAATCAGTATTAATACAGAGTGTAAGTAGAGTACATGTATCATCTACATTATCTTTCCCGATTAATCTGTCGATCATACATCAAAACGGAAGCTGGGATTGTTTGATCCCCTGCGGCAAGATTCATGTACAGTACCGTACGCTAGGCATATGCATAACTCGTCCCTTGGCGAGCCTTGTAGGGTTGTGTATATGGGAAGGAATGCCTAGGCGCTAATGTATGAAGTATTCATATACAGTAATGCGGGTATACTGTGTACGGTGGCTGTTGACGTGGACTTGGGGCTGAAACGCTAACTCCCTTAGCGCCGACTAATTGCCGGATGCTCTAGAACGTCTGGGTATGTTTGTGTGTATTGTTTTGTATGTGTTTCAAATTCAAGCTTATTTGTTACAGAGTTACCCTGTTGCTTCGGATAGATTGTTATATTCGTTTGATACATGTACGTGCCTGTAAATTAGGGGATGGAGTATGGCTACAGCAACTGGCGAAGAAGCTGTCACAGAGCGCCAAGACTTCCGTCGTCAGAACGGGTGAGGACTGACGAGTCACTGGTCAGGGGGGAACGGTGGGCTCGGGTGTTGTGGAGCGTCGTCGCAAGCCGGTTCAACTGTATTGTGGCAAGTGATTTATCGTAAGGATGTCTGTACGGTATAATGAAAGAGATTGATATATTATACTATTTACAGTCAAAGAATAAAGAAAGAATATAGTATTTATGTTTGTTTTTTATGTACTTCGTATAGGTATAGTGGGCATAAATGTGAATGATACAATGTGGGCCTTAATTGGATGGACGTCATCCCCCTAAAGAGTAGAGTAAAATTACAGATCAGCCGGGAGTTAACTAGACTAATGTCCCTTCTACTGTACTCCTCTCCTCCCTAAAATTACGAAACCGAAGGGGTCAAAGGTTTACTCCGGCTTACATACACATTCCTTCATGGCCAGGAACCATAAGACGAATGCCCGCCACGCGCGTACGACTTCCTGGTCGAGTGGCTTCCATCTAACCCAGGACGCCGGCGAATCCTCCGAGAACCCGCAACGCCGCCGCCGCGAGTCCAACCTCTCCCTCGCCAGCGTTGAAGAAGGCTCCTCCTCCCCCGACTCCGATTCCACCGATGATACAATGCTAAGGAACACCTCGATGGATATGGGTGGTGAACACAAAAGCCAGCATGTACGCAGTCGCTCCATCAGCCAGGGCACCGTGTTGGCTCTGCAGGAGTCGGAAATCCCTGCTGTTCCTGTCAAGCCCGCGCCTGTAACGTGGATGTCGCTGCCGCGGAAGGGTCAATTGGCGCTGCTGGGACTCTGTCGGGTCTTTGATTTCTTGCAGGTGGCCTCGTTGCAGGCGTACATGTTTTACCAGCTTAAGTCTTTCGATGAGAATCTCTCCGACTCCGATGTTGCGACTCAGGCTGGCATTCTTCAGGGTGCGTTTACCGCGGCCCAGTTTGCGACGGCTATTCCTTGGGGCCGTGTTGCCGATGCGGAGTGGGGTGGTCGGAAGTTTGTACTGCTTGTTGGTCTGGTTGGGACTGCTGTGTCGTGTTTGGGTGTTGCCTATTCGACGTCGTTCGCGCAGGCTGTGTTCTGGCGCTCGTTTGGTGGTGCTATCAACGGTACTGTCGGTATCATTCGGACTATGATTGCGGAGAATGTCAAGGAGAAGAAGTATCACTCGCGGGCTTTCTTGATCCTGCCTATTGGTTTTAATGTGGCCTCGTTGTTTGGCCCTGGTGAGTTTCTTGATCAATACGAGTTACGAGGTGGTGCTAACTGGTGCAGTCATGGGTGGCATGTTGGCCGACCCCGTCAAAAGCTATCCCCGTCTCTTTGGTCCCAATTCGTCTTTTGGGGGTGAGAATGGAGTGCAATGGCTCGAGAAGTACCCCTACGCACTTCCTATGTTCGCCAACTTCTGTTTCCTCTCTTGCACTGCTGCCTTGGTGGCGTATGGACTGGAAGAGACCCTTTTATCCTGCAAGGGTAAGCCCGGTCTGGGCTCATTCGCCATGAAGCTCTTTGCGCGCAGTGTAAAGACGGTTGTTCCATCTTCCTCGACCTTGTACACTAGGCTTCCTTTCCGCGACTATGACGAGGACGGGCCTCTGTTGGGCCGTGGCTTGGAGCGTGCGGAAAGCTACGAGCTCGAAGAAAAGGCACACAAGCCTGTCCGCCTCCAACGTGTCTTGCCCTTCCGCCGAATCTGGACTAAGAATGTCTTGTGCACGCTTGGAGCACAGGCTTTCTTCGACTTCCAAATGGGTGCCTTCAACAACCTCTGGCTCCTGTTCCTGTCTACTCCTCGCTACGATGCCAATGACCCTGCCAGCCCTGCCCAGAGCCTGCCTTTCATCTTCACCGGTGGACTAGGTATGCTGCCGCAGAGTGTCGGCTTTGCGACCGCCATTCTGGGTGTGATTGGCATGTTCCTCCAGTTCACCATCTACCCCTCCATCAACGGCCGCTTGGGCACAGCCAAGAGCTATCAATACTTCCTATCCCTTTTCCCGGTTGCATACTTCATTGCGCCGTATATCTCTCTGGCTCCCTCCTCAATCCCTCCACCTGGTCAAGCCAACGGCCCCTGGGTTTGGTTCTGGATTATCATCGTCCTCTTCTTCCAGGTCACCGCCCGAACATTCACCCTCCCAACCTCCATCATCCTTCTGAACAACTGCTCGCCACATCCATCGGTCCTCGGCACAATCCACGGCATTGGCCAGTCCGTGTCCTCCGCCTTCCGAACCATTGGACCTATTTTCTCAGGTGCCTGGTACGGTTATGGTCTGGATATTGGCATGGTCGGCTTTGCTTGGTGGTTGATTGCCTTGGTATCCATTTTTGGCTGTGTGGCTGCCATCTTCGTTTACGAAGGCTCTGGGCATGAGATTCTTCTCCCTGGTGAGGAAGATGAAGTCGAGCATGCCCATTAGTGATGTGATACGATCAGCGTGTCTTTTGTTCTAGAGTTGGATTGTACATTGCTTCAACATTTGCATATTATCGGTGTCGTTGGCTGGGTTTCTGTTAATTTTTTTTTCTTTCTTTCTCGGTGTTCTACTGGTGCAGGTCACTCTCATCTACTTCAAATCTTCAACGACCTCTTACTTCTATACCTGCACCGGTGGACATTGATTTCTTTTGCATTGCATTGCTTTGCTGCATTGCTTTGCTGCATTCTGTCATTTTCCCGTCTTTTGGATACCATTTTCTTGCATTTCTTACTTTGTCTGCTGTCACCACGGTGCCAGCTTTGTGTTTAACTGTGACATTAGAATAGAAAGCTGCTAGACCATCTGCCTGGTCAGTCCACCTGATCTAGATCTAATCAACCGTGAACGACATACCATATACCATATACTATTTCCATACTTCATGCATCGTAGGTAAACTTGATTCATAGCTAAAACTCTACCATATTCTCAAGCAAACTCAACCTCACAAACTAGCCCCATACCCCTTAATATAACTAGTATCAAAAGTCTCCTTATCAACCGCATACTCCCGAATATAATCCCTCTCAAGATCATGCGTCCTCCGTCCCAGAAGAACGAGACTATGCAACGGCGCCCCCATCTCAACACCTGCCAACTCCTTCAGCGTACCCGAAACAAGCTGCTGATTAGCAGCACCAACCCGCGCAGCCCCAACAGCAAGACTATCAGGCCCATAAACACCCTCCTTCCTCTCCTCCTCCGTCTCAAGCATTTGTGCTGCACACTGCGCAACAGTCATATAGCGTGGCGGCTCGAAGATCCGTCGTCCGCGAGCCATATTCTCAAGGGATTGCTCTTTCACTTTGATGTCTAGTAGCACGAGCGTGTGTAGGCCCATCTGCACGTTCTCGCGGACGCGGTCGTAGTATGAACTTGGTTTCCAGTTCTCTGTGAAGAATACCATGCTTACTGTTTGGCCGAAGTTGTACAGTTGGAGGCCTGTGCAGCCGATTCCGGACATGATTGAGGCGTTGGGGACGACTTTTGTTTCGATGTTTAGTTCGCGAGCGCGGAGGACGAGATCTGTGTGCGTTGTTGCGCTGTAGGATTGGGTTAGTTGGGCGTTTGTATCTGGGGTATTGGGGATGTCTTACCCGAATGGATCGCCGACCACCAGGAACACGATGTCTGCTTTGTCGGCGCCGGCGAGGATGTCGTCGCTGCCGGTTTCCACGAGTTCTCTGTCGGCTTCAATGACAGGACGGCCGTAGAAGGCTTCCTATTGGGTTCATACTGATCAGTAACTATGTTCAATGTAGTCATGTCTCAATACAGTGAATATAGGGACTAGAATAAGAAACAACTCACTAGCTTGGACTTGTCAACAAGCAGGATACTCGTGTATGCCTCCAGATAGACTCGCTCGGCCCGCTTCACGATCTCCAGCCCGCGGACAGTGATATCGGTCTCATCGGCGAGACCTAGACCAACGAGGTGCAACATGTTGGCTGTGTGATAGACAATTGAGCAATTTGATGAAGTAAAAGCTCAATTGAACAATTGAACAAGCTCTCAACAAGACAATGCCGTACGAATTGAACAATAGAGTCAATAGAATAAAAAAAAGTGAATAATGCCCCGCGACACCGGCAGAATTGCGTCACCGCCGGATAAAAGTATTGCCGTTATCGGTGCTATCGCTATCGGACCAACTCTCAATCAAGCTCCGCATCTTCTTCCTTGCATCCTCGCGAGTTGCGGTCGCGAGTCCCCTTCATTTCGGTTCGTCGCCTTCAGAACTCAGCTCATACTCGCTTCGTTCATCGTTCATTCTGATCTCATTTCCCATTGGAAGGGTTTCCGCCGTCCATCATGTCTGATCGAAACCCCAAGTATCGTCAGGAGATCCAGCAGGTGAGTGCTTTCCCTGGTTAGACTTGTTTCTCCTCGGTCTCTGGTTTCTTGGTAAGCTTCCTGGTTGTTGCGTTTTGAGTTCTGGCGCCGGCGAGGTGCCCGGGACCACTCTTGACTTTGCGATTGCTCGGTGTGGCATTGCGGTCTGTGCCTATGCGCCGCTCATGCGCGCGCACCTTGGCCGACGTTGCGTACATCAGTCCGCCATGTCGGTTCTTCAATGCGCCTGTCTGGCCAGCTTCACATATCGACATTGTCTTCGCGCCGGCAACATCCCGACTCCTTTCGTCGCATCCTCTGCATTCGGTCTTACTCCGCTTCGATTTGCGGTATACCATTGCACAAAGGCGTCAAAGGAGCACTGCTCCTTTGACGGACATACAATACCAAGACTTCCAATCCATCTCAGACATTGGATGTTCATTCGTGCATATCAAATTCGTCTTCACTGCAACAAGAAGCTTGGGAACCGAAGCATAAGCATATTCGTTGCATTGTGAGCAGCATTGCAATTGTCTCAATTATGCGATGTCGCATGTCGCTGTGCCTGAATATCACACATTTCCTCAAGGCATACCGAAAAGCCGTTGCTCGACTAGGCTATGCTAGGAGCTTCATGTTGTGGATGCATCTCACTAGGAATTGCTTGGGACCATTCTGGTATTTTGAATGTCTTGCCTGGCCATTTGCGGGCATCTCAGAGGCTTTGAGAGGGTTCAACGCGCGGTTGCCCAGCTCAGATTCGATATAGCCCTCTGGGGGTGCGAGTACAACTTCTTTCGCTGTGGCGACAAGATCAAGCTTCAATTTTCCGGGACTGTTTCAAAGACATCTGTGAAGGTCGAAGCTTGGTGTCTGAATGGTTGTGGGGTACTCTGGGGGAAGATTCATAGGTTTAGGGCGGTAGCAAGGCTTCGTTTTATGCCTTTTGTTTGCGCTGTTCCCTCACCACCGAAAAGCCTCGCCTTTCTCTCCCATCCTCCTTCTCTTTCCCGCCTCCCTGAACACCCTCTCATCCACGCGTTCTACTTCCTACTGTTCTACTATCTACCGTTCAATATCTCTGTTTGATCTTCATTTACCATGTCTGATCGCAACCCTTTCCCCGGAGATCCCTCTGCGTCAGATGTGATGGGGAACCTGCGTCCTGCGCCCTTCGAAGTCTACGATCAACCAAGTCGTATTGTCTTTGAAACCCCCGCCGACCTGTCCTCGGACTCGGACTCGGACTCGGATGAATCCTTAGCTTTTCGCGCCAATTGCCTGTCCTTCGCAGCCTTTTATGACTCCAACCTTGCTGCCGCTTTTGCATCGGGACACTCCTTCGGCGATTTCTACCAGCTCGGTTACTTCGGCGTGTATGATCTGCATATGCGGCGTACTTGGCCCAACTCTGAGGTTACTGGGGGGATGGAACTTCCTCCTGGCACTCAGGATTCGGACGTTGACCACGATGACGTCGAGTCTGTGACTGAAGGTGCGAGCTCTGTTTCTTCCCGCACTATCGGCAACAGCCCTATGTCTGAAGCCAAAGAATCTGAGGCTTCTTGCGCAGTCGGAGACAACGCCAGTGTCGTGTCTGAAAGTGAAGGATCTGAGTCCTCTTGCACCGTTGCTGACAGCCCTACTATGCCTGGACTTTAAAGTCAGAGGCTTCCTGGCCCGTTGGCAACAGCCCCTATGTCGTGCATGAATTTGAAATTTTGAGTCCTCCTGCAGTGTTGGTAACAACTTTAATACTATGACCGAAGTTGCCAGCTCTGTTTTTTCTATCCCCGCCGGTAACAGCCCTAATGCCATGCCTAAACTTGAAGAGTCTGAGGCTTCTTGCACAGTCGGAAACAGTCCTGTGTCTACTACTGACGTCGGAAACAACCCTAGCAACGCCAACAATCAGGAGGTTACCAACAGAAACCAGAAGCTAACCATGGGAATGGAATTTGGAAACTTACGCGAAATGCTAACTGACTTTGTACAGATGATGTTTGTCTCTGGAGAGACTGCTGAACCGTCCACTGAGACCACTACTTTGATTGAAGACATCACTCGCCAGCAGGTCCTTGAAATTGTCAGTACTAAGAATCTCACCTTTGACGCGCTGTTCACTAACAATTATATAGCTTTCTCGCAGCACCGCTTTGGCAACTCGCCGCGGAGTGCGCTCCATTTCTACCGATGACCTTATCTTCTTGATCCGCCACGACAAGGCCAAGGTCTCTCGGCTCCGAACTTTCCTTTCCTGGAAAGATGTCCGCAAGAACGTCAAGGACTCCGACGACAAGGGTGGTGGTGACGCCGCCGATTTCGCCGCCGCCGACGATGCGGCTGGGGTTGTTGCAGGCCCTCAGGACGTAGCCTCCAAGCCCAAGAACAAGAAAGCACGTGTCGGACTTGCCTGGGACGTCAACAGCTTCTATTCGGTCCAGATTCCCGAGCGCGAAGACGAGGAAGACGAAGAAGAGGAAGAGCAGAACTACGCCACCCTCCAGCGTCTGGCCGCCGCCGACGAGCGCACGCGCCACATGACCAAGGAAGAGTATGTCTTCTGGTCCGAATGCCGCCAGGCATCCTTTACCTATCGCAAGAGCAAGCGGTTCCGCGAGTGGGCTGGATTTGGAGTGGTGACCGAGTCCAAGCCCAACGACGACATAGTTGACATCCTCGGCTTCCTCACCTTCGAGATTGTCCAGACCCTGACCGAGCAGGCTTTGCGCGTGAAGGAGCGCGAGGACAACGAGAAGAACCGCCGCGGGGGCGCCGACGCCGGCGAAAACTTGAAGAAGCGCAAGCGCGAGACCGGCCTGTTCGACCCCCCTGAGGAGGGTCGCACCCCCATTGAGCCCCGCCATGTGCGGGAGGCCTACCGCAAGCTGCAGGCTACGCCTCGGTCGCAGACTGCCATGCTGTTGCACAACGGCAGACTCCCTGCCCGTATGCCCCTCGTCCTCATCTGAGGGTAAGACAACCATACTTGGGCGTCATTAGGCGCTGTTTCATGTTTTATGCGGTCTGTAGCGGGAGTTTCGCGGTCAGCTAAGGAGATACCCAGGGTTTGCTTTCTTCGTATTTGTTTTTTATTTGTGGCAGTTCGGGAGTGAGCCCCTTTATTTGCCTTGGTCAAGGCTTTCAGTTAATGTATAGGTCCTCGTTAGACCTGACAGGTCTAACTCTCAGTCTTGGTATCAAAAAATTCTTCCTTCGTGAACAGTGTAGTGTAAGTGCTGTTACCTATTGTGCAAGAAGTCTCGGACTCTTCAACTTCAGACATGACCTTAGGGCTGTTGGCGAGAGTGCAGGAAGCCTCAGTCATTCCAGCTTCAGGCTTGACGTAGAGTGAGATCTGCTTCCGAAGGGAGATGGAGAGCCATGGGGGGTGGTCTTATAAGGTTGGAGGGTCATGGGGAGCGTGGGGGTTGCTGGGGGAGGTTTCGCCCTACTTTAGCCTCCCTTTTTTCACCTCTTTATTACCCATTTTCGAGTGCCTCGGGTTAATCATCTAACTCTTCCAGCCATGGATGTCCAATATCGAACAAGAGCCCGTGTACGAATCAGATTCCGAGAAAGAAGATGGCCAGAAAGTTGTGGATAAAGGTGGCGATGTGGAAGGACTTATGACTTCTGTTGTATGTCCCCGCAATGAACTATACAATCCTTACAAACAGAGCTACATCTTAAGAAGCAGTAAAAGATGATGACCATGCAAATGCAATGACAGCTGAAGTAAGCAGCTATGCCGTTGATAGTAGATATCTCATTAAGTCATGCAACATAACTCAAGCCAAGTTCCTCCGGCACATGGAAGGCAGAAAAACCTTAGTTCTGATGCGTACGGCGCCCTATAATCATCTCAAGTTAGCAAAGCAACGTCCAAAACAATCCAGCAAAGAGAAAAGGAAACAACATACACTCAGCCAACTCCTGTCCAGTCAACTCCCGAATCCCATTAATGTGAGGCACGTTACCCTGCACAGCACCCTTAACAGTATTATACGCACGACCGAGAATCCCCTTCTGGGAAACAACATGTGTAGCCAGCTTCGCTTCCAGCTTGATAACGCCAATGCGCGGGTCGGACGGCCCGCCGTCGTGCACGCCGTCGCCCATGTCGCCAATCCACGCCTTCAGCATAGGCGAGTAGTACTTCTCCACGATGGCCGGGTCGCCGATTACGGATGCTGTTCCTGAGATTGAGGCCCAGGCGCCGCTGACCGGGTCTAGGAAGGACATGTTTGTTTCTTTGGGGTGGACGGTTAGGTCCATTGTTTTGCCTGAGAAGAGGTTTGTGTGGAAGATTAGGTCAATGCCGCCATTTTCCTGTTGGGATTTGGTTAGTATGACCTTTGTAGTTTGGAGGTAGGGAGGAGCTTGGGATGGTTGCTCTCGGCTTTGCCTTGGTCGTACCTTTCCGGCGAGGGCCATGCAGCGTGAGGTTAGATAGTCGCCCTCTGATTGATGGGTTGTCAACATGCCGAATTTCACTTCGGAGATGAAGTTGACCAGCTCTTCGATCTTCTGGGGGAGAGGAGGGTCTTCGAAGTTCTGGGTCTTGTATGGGTCCACGGAGTGGTTGCCCGTGGAGGTGTTGATGGAGGCATCGGCAGACATATTTGTTCAATGTTCAATTATGGGGTAGATAGGTGGTATATTGAAGAGTTCAAGCAGATAGTTGAGGGGATAGCATGTATATATAGGTAGAGCTCTGCAGTTATCTTGGAAGTATACACAGGTTCGTCAATGTGACGTCAGTGATACGATCCGGATTAGGGCTCACGTCTACTTGGACATCATTCACTATTTCGATCTTGAACATGAATTGACAAGTAGAATATATGTTACGCTCTTGTATTTACCTCACGCTAAGCAACCTCGCTTACAATGAGACATGTACGTCCAATCGCAATGTCTCTCAAAAGAGGCAATCTAGTTCAAGGCAACAAGGAAACAGGCCAACTACTTCTATTGCTCAGTGAAACAATTCTTTCATAGCGCTCATTATCAAAATGGCTAATAGAACTCCTGCCCAATTCTAGTCTCAGGTACCTTAGTGAACATCCTTGGCGGTACCTAGGGTATAACTTTAAAAGTCTTTAGCTATCCACGTCATCCGTGTATATGTCAACCATGGGTACCCCGACTATAATTCTGACTATGAATATTAATTTCTTTCAAAGAACCAGTGAACAGCAATTGAAAGAGAGTAACATGTACTATGCTTGCGCCTAGAAGTACTTGGGTTTAAGGTTGTTACACCGTGTGGGTCTGGAGTTCAAACGTCGGTCCCTAAGTCTGAGCTATGGCCCTAATATATCAGTCGGGTCTTAGGTCTCAGTGGACTGCAACTCTAACTAGTGAAGCAGAACCGCATTTGAATTGACATAGAAACAAAGCTGTAACTGGTTATGTTTATTTGACAAACTGAAATCTATGTATGTATTGGGTCAGATATTTCCTGCCGATGCATTGATGATTTTGATACATGGTCACAAAAAATCCACAACGCCTCCGTATGCCTCATGTAGGGCTATTTCCTAAGATATGCGTATGAACACTTATTCTTTCTTGCTCGCCGATGGCTTCTCACCCGAAGCCGCCTTGCCACCGGAAGCCGCCATGCTTTGGGCTTTCTTGTGCTTGTCTCGCTTCTCCTTCATGTAGGTCCAGCTCTTACCGATTCCTGCAGTCAGGGGCGCTTTAATGGTCTGCACAGTACTGGGCCAGCGTATAGTTTTCTCAATGGACTTGGAGACTTCCTCCTGGAGGGAGTCATCTCCGGCAATCCGCTGTTCGAAAGGACCTCCCTGGGGCCGACGAATAATATCTTGAGCATCATTGTTCTCTTTCATCATTTTATCAAAGTCGACCCGCGGGATCTGGAAGCGGGACTGGTACTGGAAGTACAGCTTCTGCCGGAATGATTCAGGCAAGCGACGAACCATGTTGCCACGCTTCACTGGATCCATATCCTGCGCCATGGCGAGGATGGCATTCGGGTCATCAATCCAATCTTCGCTACTGCAGCGGGGATCCTGGAATGTGACGTTGGGCAGATTCTCAATGAGGGGCGCGTAAAGCCGGCGGAAGTGTGCCATCTGTCCAGAGACAATGTTGCGCACCTTGCCGGGGTCTTCAGCCGGGAGTGCCATGCGCAAGTCTCCCATGTAGCTCATACCGGCAATTGTGCTGTAAAGCTCAAACTCGCTGAATCTCTCGGGGAGCAAGAGAAGTGCGACTCGCAGAGCAGACAGCAAGTTCATCTGGTTTGCCAATCGCACCTTCGGGTGGTCCCGTAAGATCTTCACGGGCTTGTGTAGCCGACCAGCAAGATACAGGGTATCCCACTGGGTCAGGTCCCGACACAACGTATCCAAGTTGACCACTCCGTATTTGATCATTGTGCCGTTTACTGTAATATAGGGATGGAAGTAGACGCCAGCACCGAACTTGTCTTGCACCTGAGAGACCACATATGACCCAAGAGAGCCCATTCCAGAATAATGATCCCGATGCTGGTGCAAGTTCAGGTCGTGCCAATGTTGGGAGTATGAAACTCCGAAAATAAAGTCAATCATTTTTCCAGAGCCCTGTTGCATATTTGAGATGGCTGTGGGTGCCGAAGGATGTAATGAGCTAGCCGGGTTTGCACTTCCACTCTGCGGGAAAACACCCGACCCATAGGCAAATGCATATCGAATTGGCGCTTTGAATTGCCAAAGGATCTGTCGCAATGCTTCCTTGAACTCTTGGTTTATAATCATATGCTGGTTAACTCCGAAATCCTTGGAGGGAAGTTCCGAGAAGTTGGAGATTGCCAAGTTCGGGTTATGGTCCCAGTCTGAGTCGGGCAGCGAAGAAAATGAAGAGGTCGAGAAGGAGGCGGTTGAGCGGCCGGCGGTGGCCTTGCATAACAGATGCGACGTCGATGAGCTGTGATTCGCTGACAGTCGGCTATGATACAGAGTGGTCGGGCGACAATTGATCGACAGGCAGTGGGCCGACGCAGGAACGAAAGAAAGAGACGAAAGGATGGTGCGAGAGCGCCAGAAAGAGCTGGGACTGGCTCTCCGAGAAGCAATCATCTAGCCGACAAGTTAGTGAGATCCCTTGGGCCGGGCGACATCGGACGTACTGTTACTCCCGGCATGGTTCTGAGTGGAAGATGAAAGGGAATGGGGCGCAGAGCGCAGAAATTAAATCAGATCAGAACATTGACGTTCCAGAAAGAGAGAGAGAGAGGGAGAGGGAGAGGCACAGGGATTGAAGTAATCCGTCAACATTTCCGGGTCTGACGTACCCCGTCCTGCCTTCCATTTCGGGTGCTGAGTAATATATCATGTGATTACGCGCGCCCATAACAACGGAGTAAACAGACGCGGAGGATCAACAACAGCGACACTTTCGCCAAAACCACGCCTATCTCCCCCACGAAGGCGTCCTTGCATATCACATATTGGGGCCAATTGTCTCGAATTGCTTGATACTTCGCCATGGGCTCTGAAATGGACACTTTCGCCGCTCGCCTGGCCAGCTTCGATCTAGTGCTGAAGCCTGAGAAACGCAGATCTTCCGGCGCAAAAACACCAAAAGCGATTACATGGCCGCACCAGCGACCTTCGCCAGCTGAGGTGCGCACAGTCTCGGAGGCACCATGTGCATCAGTCCTAAGATGATCGACTGACGGAATTCTAGTTGGCGCACGCCGGATTCTTCTACAAGCCATACGAGACAAATCCCGACAACACAACATGTTTCGAATGCCACAGGGCGCTGGATGGCTGGGAGGAGGAAGACAACCCCATCACCGAACATCTCAAGCATGCGCCCGACTGTGGATGGGCTATTATGATGGACATTCAACAAAACAGCTCAAACCCCTCTTCTATCGAAGACCCCACAAACGAGCGTATCACACAAGCACGAGCGTCGACATTCGGGTCAGCCTGGCCCCATGATGGGAAGCGAGGATGGGTATGCCAGTCAGAGAAGGTAATGCGCCCAGTCAAACTGTTTGTTTCTTCTTAGCTCACAATAGCACAGATGGTTGAGGGTGGATGGTATTTCTGCCCGACGGAAGAGAGCAACGATTTGGCCAGCTGCGCTTATTGCAAACTGTCTCTGGACGGATGGGAACCCAAGGATGATCCTTTGTAAGTGTCCATCGCTCTTTCCGGGTGAATCTTGCTAACTTGTCCAGCGAGGAACATTACCGCCGCTCTTCGGATTGTTCATTCTTCGTATTTGCCCAGCCCCCAGGAAAAAAGGGCAAAGGGCGTGCTAAGAAACCTCGTGTCTCTAAGGCATCTTCTCGACTTTCAACTCAATCAGTTGGCACAGTTGCCTCCGAAACGCCCGAGGTGGACATGGATGACTCAATGGACCAGAGTATGATGTCTCAATCCACCACGAAATCGAAACCTACAAAGAAGGCATCTAAGGGAAAAGGCAAGGGAGCTAAAAGCAGGAAAGAAGAACCAGCGAAGGTCAAAAGCCACAGAGAGACCGAAAGTGCGGAGGTTGCCGAACCAGAGCCTGTCAAGGCCAAACGTACAGGCCGGCGAAAGAAGAGGGCCAGTGAGGATATCACTAAGGAAGAACCTGAGCCAATTGCCTCGGAGGAACCAGAGCAGGCACAGCCGCCTGTAGAACCTCCTGCCAAGAGAAGGGCAACAAGAACGCGAAGCAGCAGTATTTCTCGTAACTACAACTACGAACGCAGTGACTCAGCGATGCCAGATGCAGACACTGTGGATGACGGCGCTTCAGAAGAAGAAACCAGGAGGGGCCGCAAGCCCACAAAGAAGGGATCTTCCAAGGCCCGCAAGGTCTCTGATGTCTCCGTTACATCAAAAGCTCCGTCAAAGGCTCGTGCTCCTCGTGATTCGGAGATTGAAGCAGAAATCGAAGCAGGCCTCGATGCTGACATCCCCGAACTTCTCGAGGCTCAACCTGAACCAGAGCCTGAGGCAGGGCCAGAGCCCGAGCAGCCACGTGCCTCAAAAAAGGCCAAAGCAACCAAAAAATCCAAGGCCGTGGCCAGATCCCCCGAACCCGTCCTGCAGGAGCAGATGCACGATGCTGTTGACGAGGATCATATGGAACCTCAGGCTGAGCCAGTCCCCGAGGAGGTACCTGAGCCGCCAGCTCCCAAGACGAAGACAGCTAAAGGATCCAAAAAGAAGGGGACAAAGAAGGCAAAGGCCGAAGAGACAAAAGCAGAGTCGCCAGAACCCCAAGGAGCTTTGGAGCCTATGGTAGCTGATGACAGAAATGACCCGGGGCGCCACGAATCTTTTATCTCTGTGGAAATTATCAACAAGGAGCACGAACCTTCCCCCGAGCCTGAAGAACCTGTTGCTAAACCGAAGAAGAAAGGCTCCAAGAAGAAAGACGCATCAACAGCTAAGGAGAAGAAATCCAAGAAACTTGAGAAGAAGGCGGAGCCAACTCCGCCCCCCAAATCACCGATCTTGGAACGACATGATGTCGAGCCATCAGTTGACGAACAAGATGATGGATTTGAGACAGCGGATGATTTGCCTGATCAGCTTGAGGTAGTCCAACCCCCTCAAGAGTTTTCTCCACAGCAGCAACGATGGCATCGAACAACACCCAACTTGCCACCAAAAACCGCGAAAAGATATAGTGATATTCCCCAGGAAGAGCATCTCGCGGAAAGCATCGCCCATTCTTCCCCTCATGATACACTGCGCTACTCTCGGCAATCTAACCGGGCAGTCTCTCCACTTCCATCGGCTCACCGGAGCACGCCCTCGATGTCTCCGCAGTCATCAGATGCGGAGAACAGGCCTCCATCGTCACGACCTTCGGCATCTCGTGTACACGATCAATCAACACCCAAGGAGCCCAAGTTCCGAGCCGCTCTCACAGCCAGTACCCCATCGCCATCTAAGCGTAATGCCAATGCTGGATTTGGGCCTTCAGGTCATCCGTGGACCCCAATCGACATCGATGAAGCCCTCTTCGGAGACAACAGCGACAAGGAGAATGCCGACCTGGCTAGCCTTTTCAAGGGTGTCAAGGGCGGACTGACCAGCCCGGAGAAGAAGATGACGGTCCAAGAATGGATCGCATGGAATGCAAAGAACGGTGAAGAACGCCTGAAAAGAGAATGCGAACGACTTGTCGGTCAATTTGAGAAGGAAGGCGGCCGAGCAATGCAACGGATAGAAGCGATTGAGTGCGTCGACTAACTTATGAGTGATGCCACATTATTTTGGATGAAATGAACTTGCATGTTAGGCGTTGTGGGGAATCATTGTTAGATCTTTTGGTCTTAATTTGGATTTTTGCCAAGTGCAATTTTGTTGCACATCGAAGAACATGCTAGTAAACAGAAAAGAAACAGGCCAAAACACCATGGGTATCAAATGTAGAACGCACCCCTGAGGACATAGGACATCTCAAGAAATAATGCCCAACCGTCCCTCCCAGCTATCATCCTCTTGCTTAACCTTCCGCCGCTTCTCATTCCGCTTGCGCCTCTTCTCCTCCCTCTCCTTCGCATCCTGCTCCTCCCGCTCCTTCAACCGAGCCCCAAGATCAAGCTGCCAAGCCTTACGCTCCTCTTCATCCCGAACCCTCTTCCGATGCGCCAACGCCCGCAACCGCATCCGTACCTCTTCAACTGTAGCCCGCTTCACCTCCCCACTCTGTCCCGTCGCAATCAAATGCTGCTTGCTATTCAAATGCTCGACAAGCTGCAGATTATCCTTGAACGTAAGATCGCAGTCCTTGCAGTAGAATCCAGCGCCGGCTCCGCGCTTGCCCATTGAGGCGCCGGCTGGGACAATTGTCGTCTTGCCCACCATCGAGGCCACGTCCAGTCGCTGGTTTCGCGCTGTTGTCGCTTCAAGCGTGCTGAGATCGACTGGAGCATGGTATTTCTTGCCTAGGAGCTTGGCTTCGTATCGTGCTTTGCCTTCGGCTTTGCGCTTGGCTTCTTCGTCCGCTGCTTTTTTCGTGTATTCTTCTCGGTCCCATGTTTTGCGGAAGGCTGTGTCGGACACCGGGGTGCCGTAGGCGTTTGGGCCGGACATAGCTGTGGTTTTTTTGTGGGTTGATTGGGGTTTGAGTGAGTTTGAAGGTGGAGGTTTGTCTGAGTGGCGATCTCAAAGTTGGAGTTGAAGCTTCGGGCTGATAGTGGTGATTACATAAGCTTCTGCTTGATCATTCCAACGTCAGTTCAAACAGAGCTTCTGTCTCTACTTAGCTTTTCATTGGCTCAATAGTGTGTCTATGAAATAATTCTTTCTTTTTGATAATAAGTATTTCGTTTTCACTCGTGCCTGAAACTCAAGCGTTGCCTAGGCCACAAAGTAAGCAGGATCCACACAGTGAACACGGCATAAGCATGGCAATAGGCAACTACATCAACTTCATCAAGTCAAATTTCCTAGTTCTGGGCCAGAGTTAATTATCATTTCAAGGACACAGCGTGGCACCTGCAGAGTTAGGCACCAGCTTATCCCAAACTCAGACCCAGCTCTATAATCAAGGCACATCCTCAACCAACATATCAACCAACACAATCCAACGCAAATCAACAACCATGGCAAAATCAGATTCTCCAGTGCAGATAGCACCCCTCAGGCCCAAAAGATTAAAACTGATGGCCCTCCCATCAGAACTCCACATCCAAATAAGCACATACCTCTCCTATCCAGACGCCCTAGCCCTAAAACACAGCAGCCGCCATTTCTACTCAATAGTCTATACAGGCGTGCATCTCAAAGTGGATTGGCTGCTCGAACGGTTTGAGCGCAAGCTCGAATGCCCCATGGAGAAATGCTCGTTTCGTACCGATGAGTCCTTTTGCAATCAGCGTGTTCGTCGTATTATGGAGCGCCGCCGTTGGCACCTAGAGTGTCGCCGGGCTAGGGGTGGTTGTGTTGTTATTTATGGGGGTACTTGTCAGACCGATCTGTTGCCCGCTTGGTTTAAGATGCAGGGGAAGAGGAGGGCTGTGAGGATGGTTGGTGTTTGGGGGCAGGAAGGTTTGTTTGTTTTCTTCTTTAAGCAGTTTCTTATTGTGTCTAGATGGCTGATTTAGTGATATTTCATAGTTATTCTCGTTGGGGCTATGGCTTTTCTGTTGAACTTGTTGTGGCAGTTCTATCGGGGGTAATAATGTATCTGTTGATTGGTTATGTATACTGTAATGGGACCTTTCGAGGAGTTTGTGGTTTGTATATTGGTCAACAGGCTCCTCATTCGGAAGGTATATAATTGACTATCTGAGTCGCTGGATCTTTCAGGATTTATATCTTATATGACATGAGAATCAAATAATATACTCATAGTGCAACCGATTTGAGGAAATGTTCGTAACATATCCTCAGGAACGTCACGGGTATATACTTCTACACGATTGCCTTTTAGATATAACTAACACCCTGTAGATCCACATCGATCCTCTACTTATGGCACATTCCAGTAAACTTAGGCCAATGACTAGAGCCCCCATGGGCTAGATGATGTAGCCAAATTCATAGACGCTGTTCCCGATTAGGAATGACTGTGGAGAGGTCGTCACGTGTTTCCGGCACTGATTGGAGTGCCCGAATGCCTGCTCACTCCCAGGATATACATCTTGGCAACATTAGTCTCAGTCTCTCCCAGATTATCAAGTGACATTCCATGACTACTCGATCGAGCGTTTCGGTGCCTGGGCTTCCGGGGTATCTGGCACCCCGACGCCAGAAGCGGGTCCAGGTGGCTAGGGCATGCGATGAATGCCGACTCCGACGCAGGAAATGCGACAACAAAATTCCTTGTTCAAACTGTACGGCAAAGGCACGAACATGCAGTAACAGTGGAGCGCCCAAAGCATCAACGCTTACTCAAGCCTCCGAGGAGATTGAGTGGCTCAAGCAGAAAGTCCAGCAGCTAGAAGCAGAGCTCGAACAGCGGTCCAACGAGGGCAATAATCTTCCCACGCCAACAGGGTCTTCATCATCGCCACCTCGGGTCTTTTCATTTGCAAGGAAATCTGAAATCGTCGACTCGGGTGATTTGAAAAAATACTGGGGCGGCATACAGCTTCGCCCTGCGAGATCATCCAATGATACATGGCTTGGCCCGTCATCACTGCATTCTTTCATCCAGCGTCTCAGCGTGTTTCTGAGTCTCAGTCTTCAACAGACACATTCTGCAAATAAGTTATTTCCCATCTCAGCCAGCGATAGCAAATTACTGGACAGACCAGCAGGTCCCGACATAGACCCAGTCCGTCGGCTGGTCTCAACGGGGAAACTCTCCACTGCTGGTGTCTATCTAAACCCGATACAAGAGGAATATTTCATCAACTTTTTTGGCAAACATATCACACCTCGTTATTCCCAATATTGGATGAAACCCAGTTCAAGAAGCATTACCAGTCTCTATGGGTGTCTGGTGGCAAAGAACGAAAGCCATCAGCTCTCGTCGATATCATCATTGCCATGTGCATGCAATATGGCATTTCAACCCTACCCTTAGACACCCAGGGGTTCCTCGTAGAAGGCCAAGATGCCTTGGTTGCCGGCCGATGGCACTTTTGGCGTGGGCAGACACTGCTCACATACGAGCTTGAAAGTCCCTCGCTATCAACCCTGCAATCCCATCTACTCTGTTCAGTCTATCTGTGCGGTGGGTCTTTCCACAATATGCTGGACAATTCCATCGGTCAAGCTGTGCGCACCGCTTACGCCCTGGGCCTTCATTTGGACCCCTCGCCGAGCATGCCTGAGCAAGACCGCGAGATGCGGAGACGCTTATGGTGGGCGGTCTATCTTATGGATAGCAAAGCCGGAATGAAGCTCGGTCGCCCCTTCATGCTGCGTGATTCTCATGTTATGCCGTGCTTACCAAGCGACAGCTTTGAGGCTGCAAGGATGTCGGGATCCGCTTTTGCACCCATTGGCGACATTTCTACGTGGCTGAGTTTTAACCTCCAGCAGACCGAGCTATACATCAAAGCACGAGCTGCCTACACGAGCTACTATGACCAGGAACTTAACTTGCGGGATGGTCAGGCGATATGGGATGATTCTCATGCCCTCCAAGCCAGCGCAGAAGTTTTGTTCCCGCATATTCAGATCCTCCAAGAATGGACCGACAGCGTACCAGAGGCTCTAAAGTTGAAGCGTCAAAACAATGGCAATCCTCTTTCCACGGATGGCACACGCCTGTCACTTGAGCAGTTTGCTCCACTCTGGCTCCAACGGCAGCGTGTTCTCCTGGAACACTCATATCACCACCTCAGCATCAACCTATACCGACCGCTGATCTCCTTCTCTTCCAAGCCGTCGCCAGGATCTCGAGCGGAGGAGATCGCTATGCGCTGTGCTTCCCATGCTATCATGCTATCGAAGATTACGCAACAGGTCCTTGCAGATACTTCCATCCTCGATGGGTGGCATGAGGCTTTCCACTGCCAATGGAATGCAGCTATGACGCTCATTGGCTTTCTCATGGTGTATCCGGATGCATCGTTGACCATTGAAGCCAGAAACGCGATCGACCTAGCAGTCGCTGTATTTGATAACTTCGGTGCCAAGTTTGCTGTCGCAGCGAATGCAGCCAAGATTATGCGAGATCTATGCACCAAGGTTGATTTTCTGGCAAAGCATAGCCAGTCCCAGCGTGATTCTTTGGATGGCCTCCATACTATCTCTATGGATGGTTCTATCCCGCAAGATCTTTCTTTTGACTCTTCCCTAAATTCAACACTAAGAGATTGGAGCTCATACGCGAATGACCTTACTGCACCAGATTTGAGCTTGTTCGACATGGCTGTTGATGTTGACTTCTGGAATAACCTTGATGCGCTATGGCCGGAAGCTGACAATTTGTCTCAATACCAATCGGAGATCTGAGGATCTGAATTTTCGTTCGGAAACATAATGACCAAGCCTACAATGATAAATCATGACTATGAAAGTTCCAAGGTTGAAGCCAAAGATGGTTCAGCGGAGTTGCGGAGTCTCAAACTTGATAACTACGTAGTTCTAGGGACAGAATGCGGAGCTCTAGCAAAATTTGATTGAAAACATACACTAACTGGTTCTCCACTAATGATCAGGCCCTGAAACAGCCACCTGTGACGGATACACGGATTCACGGAGTCGCGGAGTGGTGATGGTGGTGGAGTTGCGGAGTCGCGGAGTTCATCCAGCGCACGGACCGGGCCAGAGTATACAAGTCCCAGATGCTGCAGGTCGTCTGGATATAAATACTAGATGAACTGCCACTTCCAGAACTATCATCACAAGCATCCATCCAAACCAGCAATTCCAGTTTAATCCCGACTCCAAACACCAATCAAAATGTCTCCTGCTCGCAAAGCCCTCATCGCCATCACCTCGGCCAAAGCCACCCTAAACAAAGAAACAACCGGCCTCTTCATCAGCGAAGCCCTACACCCCTACAATGTCCTCGTCGCCGCAGGCTTCGAAGTCGACCTGGCCTCCGAAACAGGATCCTACACCGCAGACTGGCTCTCCCAAACCCCAGACTTCCTAAATGGCGACGACCTCACAATCTGGAACGACGTCAACAGCGACTTCCGCAAGAAGCTGGACAACATGCCCAAAGCCGCTGACCTGGACGCTTCCCAGTATGGAGTATTCTACGCCTCGGCTGGCCACGCCGCTCTGATCGATTACCCAACTGCGACTTCCCTACAGAAGATCGCCGAGCAGGTCTGGGCTAGTGGTGGTGTTGTTGCTTCTGTTTGTCATGGTCCTGCTATCTTTGCCAATATTGTTGATCGCGAGACTGGTAGCCCTGTTATTCAGGGTCGGAGACTTACTGGTTTCACTACTGAGGCTGAGAATATTATGGGTATCATGGCTGATTTGCGGAGTTGGAATGTTGAACTTTGTGAAGAACTTGCTGCTCGTCTTGGTGCTAAGTGTGAGTGTTCCCTGTATATTGGAAGATTTTTGGAAGATTTTTACTAACTTTTACCTCAGATGAGCGCTCTGCTGGTATCTGGGATGACTTCCATGTGGTTGATGGTCGTCTCGTTACTGGTCAGAACCCTGCTAGTGCAACCTCTACTGCTAAGGCTGTTGTCGATGTCTTTGAGAAGCTTTAGACAAGCGATTGATATATTTTAGACCTTTATCGAGATGTTATATATGCTATAACTGTTGTTGAACACTACATAACATGCTTGCTATCTTCACTTTTAGATCCAGGTCTAGAGGTGAATACTTCTGGGTATCTTTAGAGTAACTTCTGATAGAAACGAGTAATTGAATCGAAAAGACGTATATGTAGTGGAATGAATTCAATTCTGCAATGGGTACCCTGGTGTATAGATGCGGCATTGACTCATAAGAGTTCCCGCCCTCAACTCCGATAAATTCCCCGCCACCCCACCGCTTCCTACATTCTTCGGTGTACTCTCTTCACACAATGGCTTCAACGTCACCTTTCAACCTGGCCACTTGCGCCCGCCCTAATATCCTCCAATTGCAGCCATACCGATGCGCACGAGAGTATGTCGACCCGATATCGGTCCGAACCAAGCTAATGAGTCAGTGACTACAAAGATGATGGGACGAACGTGCTCCTCGACGCCAATGAGAATGCCTTTGGCCCTGGTCTTGCGCTGAACAGCGAGGGCGCATTGCAGGCCTCCCAGACCGGCGATGCGACAGGAGCCTCCAAGCCCGAGATCGACTTCCTGGGTTTGAACCGCTACCCAGACCCGTGAGTGCACCTCCGTCGCAAACGAATACAGTATTCCGATCTAACACTGCCCAGTCACCAAATTGAACTCAAGCAGCTGTTCTGCAACCTCCGAAACACCCACCACCACACCCCCAAGACCCTCCTCCCCGAGCACATGTTCTGCGGGGTCGGATCCGACGAGGCCATCGACGCTCTACTACGATGCTTCTGCGTCCCAGGCAAAGACAAAATCCTCACCTGTCCCCCAACCTACGGCATGTACAGCGTGAGCGCGCAAGTCAACGACGTCGAGATCGTCAAAGTCCCCCTCGACGCCTCGAACGGCTTCCACCTCCAACCAGAGAAAATCAACGCAGCCCTCACAGCCGACCCCTCCATCAAATTAGCCTACATCTGCTCCCCAGGAAACCCAACGGCAAACCTCATCCGCAAAGAAGACATCCGCCAAGTCCTTGAGCACCCAACCTGGAACGGCGTCGTCGTTGTCGACGAAGCCTACATCGACTTCGCGCCCGAAGGTTCCAGCCTCGCAGAATGGGTCACCGAATGGCCCAACCTAGTTGTAATGCAAACCCTCAGCAAAGCCTTCGGACTGGCAGGTATCCGCCTGGGCGTCGCCTACACCAGCCCAGAGATTGCCCGCCTCCTCAACAGCCTCAAAGCCCCCTACAACATCTCCAGCCCGACCAGCGCGCTCGCCTCGGCCGCCCTGACAGGCCCCAACATGGCCGTTATGCGCCACTACCGCGAGCAGATCATTGCCCAGCGCGACCGGCTCGTGCGCGAGTTACCCACTATCCCTGGTGTGGGCCAGTTCCTTGGCGGATATGACGCCAACTTCTTGCTTGTGCAGATTCTGAATGGTGAGGGCCGACCGTGTAACGTGACTGCGTTGGCGGCGTATGAAGCTATGGCGGAGAAGCGTGGCGTCGTTGTGCGGTTCCGCGGTAAGGAGCTTGGGTGTGAGGGCTGTTTGCGCATTACGGTCGGTACCGAGGCTGAGGTCTCCAAGTTCCTGCAGGAGTTGCGGGTTGTGCTTGGGGGGCTGCGTGCTGGTAGCATTGAGTCTGTTCGGGGTTAGACGTGTTGCGTGATGTAGATAAGGGTCCCAAGGGTTGTTGGGGGCTAAACTACCGCCACTAGATATAGAGATATAGGGAGATAGTCGCCTATCATATACTTCGTATTTGTATAAAAAAATGTCTTTTTGTTCTAGATCGAGTCACACAGGCTTATCTAGGCAATAGCCCACGTGTATTCCATCCCTAAGTGCCTACCCCTATCCTATCCCTAACTACTTAGGGAACTAAGTAATCTATCAAGTGTCAATCTATTAGACTTTATAGCCAAGGCCGATCTTTTCCGCTCCCAAAAGGTTAACTCCGCCGGAATCCGTGTAACGGTGAGCTCCTTTTAGCTTCTCGCGCCTTAATCGATGAGAGGTTATTTCTTTGTTTCTTTGTTGGCGCATCATTCCATTGTCCAAGACTGAGACTCGAATCGGACAGGAATACGCGCTTGGCTAACAAGGATCTGACAGGTAACTAAATGAGTAAAATGAGCAAGATTAGCGAGGTTAATATCACTGGTGCTTGGCTGGTTTCTTGGGCTTATCTTTGCAGTTTGGTTATTTACTTCTCTCGGCTTCCCCTCTTTGCTCTCTCTCTGACTTGACTGACCTGAGACCTCCTAACACTTGCACATATCAATATCCACATCTTCTGCGATCGCCATAGCTTCACTTTGCCCTATCCACTCCCCACACGGCACGTGCAGACCATGTAAACCTCACCACCACTCGATACTCGAGGATCGCCTGTCTCTCAGCTCCTTGCTGTGACCTCGGGATGGCTGACTCCATGTTGGCGCGTGGCATCTACCCAGACAACCCGCCCGCCATGCAGACCAGAGACCAGATCAATCCGACTCTGATGATGAGCTGGTGGGCAACGGGCTTTTCGCTGGCTATTATTATCGTCCGTCTGTGTGGCCGGTACATTCGTATCGAGCGCTTCTTTCCGGAAGATAAGGTTGTTATGATCAGTGTTTTTCCATTGGTGATCCGCATGGTGCTGGTGCATTTTGTGCTTGTGCTTGGGACCAATAACACAACTACTGGGGAGTTGACCGGGCAGGAGATTAGGAATCGCGAGCTTGGGAGTAAGCTTGTGCTTGCTGCGCGCATTTTCTATGCCATTTTGTGAGATGCAATGCCTTCATCTTTGTACAGTGGTGCTTGTGTGAGAGACACCCACTAACTATATCCCAGCATCTGGACTGCAAAACTCACCGTCTGCGAGTTCCTCAAACGAGTAACCGGCCTCGTCTGGCGCCGCTCAGTGGCCCTCTTCCTCCGATTCATCACCTTCTTCCTCATCTCAACCCTGGTAGCAGTGGTAATCGCAACCCTAGCCGAATGCCAACCCTTCAACCATTACTGGCAGGTCATCCCAGACCCAGGCCCAACATGCCGAACAGGCTACGTGAACCTAATAACAATGGGTACCTGCGACGTGATAACCGATCTCCTCCTAATCGCCTTCCCCGTCCCAATCATCATGCTAGCCCAAATGCCCCTAAAGCGCAAACTAGCCCTAGTCATCCTCTTCTGCCTCTCCCTCCTGCTAGTGGCAATAACCTGCTACCGCGTCCCGTCAGTCATACACCACAGCGGCTCACAGCAATACCGCTCCCTCCTCGCCAGCCTTGAAATCCTAGCCGCAACAGCCGTCTCTAATGCCCTCGTCATCGGCTCCTTCGTCCGTGACCGCGGCGTCAAGAAGTTGAAATACAAACGCGATCAAGGCTCCGCCTCGGTCTCAGAGAGCATGGATAAATCCTTCATTAGAAGGAACACAATCATGCAGAACCAATGGGGCAGCGACTCGGATCTAGCTACTGGTTTATGCATCCGCCTCGATCCAGATATGTGTATTTCCCCAACGACCACCGCTGATGGGACACCTCTCCCCCGTCCTGCTCCTCATGTCGCCTTATCGTCCCATATGCCTCTCTCAGTAGCGCGCACCGGGACTATCGATCCATCCTGGTCTTTCACGACCAGTCGGCGTTCGGATGATGATCATGCCTCCGCGACGGATAGTCTCGATATCAAAATCAGTCCACGCGAATATCTACGTACGAATACTTCGCCTCGGGAGTCGGCGGCTGTTGCTCCGCGGAGGGTTTCGTTTTCCGATGTTGGTGGGCTTTTGACTAGGGCATTGCCGGATGATCCTCATACTCGGCCGTCGGTTTCAAGGTCGAATACAACGTTGACTTTGAATACTCTTGCTCATGCTCCTACTCCTGGTCCCGCTGAGGCTTCACAGTGGAGAAGTGGGAGTCGCACGTTTTTGGAGGATTTGGGGATTGTTGCGCCTCATTCTTCTTCGAGGTTGTATGGACATGCTAGGCCTGGGATTGGTAGATCTCAGACGCTGCCTCAGCCTCAGCCCCAGCCTCAAACTCAGTCTCAGCCTCAGACTCATGTTCTTCCTGTTTACGGCTCCTCTTCTGATATCACACTTGATGGAGATGTCGAGTTACAGGACGTTGGTGGATTGCTTTCCAAGCAACACCAGGGCCAGAGCCAGAGCCAGAGCCAGGACCGGGACCGGGACAACTCTTGATATTATGCGATCTACGAAACGACATAACGCCATCTCTTTTTGATTTTATTTTCGGTTTTGTTTGTGGAGGAGTCCTGGTACATACCCATACCCATGCCCGTATTTGGCTTTTTCTGTTTCTATAATATTTGGTTTTCTTTTGGTTTCTTTTGGCTTTCTTTGAACTGTTTTTGATATCTATGGCTTTCTTTACGTGATCTCTGCTGTATTCCCCCTGCTGCGTTTCCTAGCGCGGCGTTGGGTATTTGGTGTTACTTTCCCTTCCCTTGCAATACTGTACCCTGGACTCGATGTCTGTTTCCGGTTCTTGAGGTCCGGAGTTGTTAATAGTGTACCACCTACATACATTCGAGATTTGAGATGAGATGAGACGAGATGACCGTACATACCATACTATGAGTGAAATGAACATTTGACAGATTTTCCTTCATTCTTTTGATCACATGATGCTATATAACCCTGACATATTAAATACTGAACATAATGATCTAGATCTACATCTAGTAAACACTCCTTTCATAATAGATCAAATTCATCTAGACATAGACAAAAAGGGGAACCATTAACTATGTGAAACAGGTAACCCCTACCAACCGCAACCACCCAAAGCTAGAGAAACGTTGCGCGCCTGTACGCCATGCTGCCCATAATACAAGGAGGGATGGTGGACCGATCTTTTTTTCTGAGTATCGAGTATCTTTGTGTAGGCTGGGGCGTGAATTGGACCAAAAAAAAAGAAAAGAAAAAAGAAAAAGATAACAACTCCCTGGTGTCCACTTCTCTTGGTACTGTATCTCAATCCAGTGCTGCCCTTTTCTCTCGCAGTGGTATACCCCGGAGAAAAGCGAGTAGCAAGTATGGAGGGGTTTCAGATCGGTGGAAGTGGACCGGATGCGATATGTAGGAGGTAGCTCTAGAGGAACCCGAGCTCGGAAGTAGAACCGGGTTCCTCATCGCGTGAAACCCCCAGGAAAAAGAGGAAGGGGAAAGGAAAAAAGATAATAAAAAGAAGGGCCTGACATCGTTTCATATTGAAGCGGTGCAGCTGTGTATCATTTTTCCAATCCCATTTTTTACAGCCATTCCATTCTCATTTTCAATAATGAAAAAAGAAAGGCTTAGATGACCCAGCGGTAGCTGGCATACCGACCGGCAGTCTCACTCTTGCGAATAATCTTAACAACCTGACCACGGCGCAGACCAAGGTAGCGCGCGACAGGGTCGGACACCTGTATACGGGGCAACTGCGACTCCTTCAGACGGTAGCGCTCCAGCAGACGGGCCTTCTCCTCCGGGCTGAGGAGGACGTGCTTGGGGACCAGCTCGTGGCGGGTGATGTTGACCAGCAGATCCTGCTCTTGGAAGTGCTCGCAGATGCGGCCGGGGACTCCGCTCAGCAGGCGCACGGCGGATGGCGAGATCGGTGTCTGCGTGATGAAGATACCCGTGTGGAAGTTATTCTCGTCGACGAGGTGGTTGAAGGCGCGGACTTGCTTGGTTCCGACGCCTGAGGCGTCCGGGCAGAAATCAACGTAGATTGTGCCGCAGTCCGGTTGGGGGTTGGGGTTTGCTTTGCTTGGAAGTGGTGTGTACTTCATCTTCATGGTTTCCGTGGGACGGGCTTGGATTTTCATCTTGGTGCGGCTGTTATAGAAAGGGTTGTTAGCTTTCGTTTTTCAATTGGGTGCTTTGTCGTGCGTTCAGGTCTGTAGGTGTGAGGGTAGGCGCAGGGTTTTCGCATACTCAGGATAGCCCAGAGGGTCGGAATATTTTGAGCGGAATTCATTGAGATCGAGGGCCAGCTCGTCCTCAGATACTTCGTAGCCCTGCGATGGTTAGCATTGTCAAGGCATGGGAATCTGGCTGTGCCTACCCGGTCTGCAAGCAATTCATAGACTGTTTTAAAGGTGCGCCAGAGCCGGGTCATCTCTTGCTCGGCCTCGCCGGAGTGTGTTTCGCCATCCATGACTGCGGTGTACAAAGAAAGAGGTGAAAAACGGGCAGAGCTCCGAGGTGAGAAAGTGAAGTCGAAAAATCGGCGGGAACTTTCTGCCAACGACCTAAGCGGAGAAACCGACCGAACCAAATTAATTCCCCTTTTCTACTCCCCTTTTGGTGATTGAACACTTTCCTTCTTTTCTTCTTTCTTTTACTTTCATTCTCGTTTCATTTCGACAATGTCTGCTACTGAGGAGCCCCGGGTTAAGCCCACCAAGCCCGATGAGGCTGCCTACAAGGCCAGCCTGGCCGAGGCTGAGAAGGAGCACACTGCTGCTCAAGAGAAATTGGTATGACTTGTTTCTTTTCGTTTCTTTGGACTCCTATTCTCGCTTTGGATTGGAATTGAGAGCATTGCGATGATCTCGACCCACACCGTTATGCCGTTACGCCCGTTGATTGTATCCGCTACCCCTCTGACTGATATGCGCAGAACCAAATCAAGGCCAAATTGGACAACGCTCAGCCCAACAACAAGGACTCGCCCACCGCCAAGAGGCAGCAGGAACTCCGCGCCCAACTCTCATCCATTCGCCAGAAGCAATCCGGCTTCAAGTCGAGCCGCTCCAGCACCCAGGAGAAGATCAACGCTCTGGACTCGAACCTCAAGGCCCGCATTGGCGAGCAGAACAACTCCCGCGGCCGTCTTTCATTCAAGAGCGTCGATGAGATTGACCGTGAGATTGCCCGTCTCGAGAAGCAGGTCGACTCCGGTACTCTCCGTCTGGTCGACGAGCGCAAGGCCCTCAGCGATGTCTCGAACCTGCGCAAGCAGCGCAAGAGCTTCGCCGGTCTGGACGAGGCCCAGAAGGGCATTGACGAGCTGAAGGCCCAGATCGCTGAATTGCGCAAGACCCTGGACAACCCCGAGGCCAAGGCCCTGAGCGACAAGTATAACGAGATCCAGAAGGAGCTCGACACCATCAAGGCCGAGCAGGACAGCGTCTTCAAGAACCTTAACTCCCTGCGCGACGAGCGCACCAAGCTGCGCAACGACCAGCAGGAGAAGTACACTGCCATCCGCACCATTAAGGACACCTACTACAAGGCCCGCCGTGCCTACAAGGAGTACGAGGATGAGGCCTGGCGCGTGCGCCGTGAGCGCCAGAAGACTGAGCGCGAGGCCTTTGAGCGCGAGAAGCGCAAGAAGGTCGCTGATAAGAAGCTCGAGGAGGCTTCGCAGCCCGCCTACCACGATGAGATACTTACCGCCCAGGGTCTTATCCGTCACTTCGACCCTGCTTATGACTTTGCCGCTCTTGGTTTGGACGAGAAGAAGGATGCCGGAAGCAACTTCCGCGCTGGTGTTGGCCGGACTGTTGAGGCTGCTGAGATTAAGGGTATGAAGGTTGTGCGCAAAGACGACGAGGAGGACTACTTCGTTGGTACCGGTGGTAAGAAGGGTAAGAAGGGCGGCAAGAAGGGTGCTGCCCCTGCTGCTGAGAGCTCCAAGTTCAACATGAACGTTGGTATCATCGAGGAGTTCTCCAAGATCAAAATCGACCCTCCCATGAACCAGTCCGATGTCCCTGCTGTTGTGGAGAAGCTGGCCGCCAAGATCTCCGAGTGGAAGAAGAACCAGGCCAGCAAGACCGAGGAGGTAAGTTTCAGATCTTAACCGCTGACATCAAACGCTCACAAATTGTAGAACATCAAGAAGGCCAAGGAGGAGATCACCCGCCTCGAAGAGGAGGAGGCCAACATCTCCCAGTCCAACGGCCGGGCCACCGACGCTGCCAAGAAGCCCGCCCAAGAGAACGGTGCCCCGACAGCAGAGGCCGAGCTTACCCAGGAGCAGGATGGCGCAGCCGACGCCGCTGATGAGCTCAAGAAGGCCTCGATCGAGGAGAAGGCATAGAGAGGGAGTTCCCATATATGCGTCAACGTACAGTCTAGCGTTTGCCTAGCATTTTTCATTTTTGGCTCTTGCATATGCATTTTGTTTATAAATGGTTTCCAAAAAAGTCATAATCAATTTACCATGAAACAAGGCTAAAACAAAAATAAAACAAATAAACCTGATGCCTATACTTGGACCGGCAAGCCTGGAACTGACTAAGCGTGCCGACCCCCGGAACTGCGCCACTTCTCAACGTACTCTTCCTCTACTCTTCTCTCTCGAGTCACTCAAATCCCTCATAGCGCACACTCATTGCAGCATCCCACCTTGAATCCATATATATCCCACCATACAAACACACCCAACCATCCCGGGATCCATACACACATCTACACCCCAGATCAGACATACAGTACAGATCGGCGCTAAATATTCCTCCACCTCCATAACCGAAACTCCACACCCAACCCCAAAAATGTCCTACAACAAACCCGTACGTCGCAACCCCCGATCCCTCCCAAATATAGCCCGAGAGTACTAATTGATCGCTCTTTTATATAGACAAGTCCCCCGCCTTCCTACGCAGGACCCTACAACCACGCCTCTCCCCCACCGCAAGGTCCCAGCCCCGGCGCCGCGCAGGATTACTACGGCGGCGCCCAGACCCAGCCTCAGGCCTATTACCCGCAACAGCAGCAGGGCTACGGATACCCGCAGCAGCAACAGCAGGGGTATTATAATCAGGCGCAGCAGCCTATGTATTACCCGCCACAGCAGCAGGGGTACTATGCTAATGATCGGGGGAGCAGGTCTGGTGGTGGGGCTGGTGGGATTTGTGCGGGTATTATGGCTGCTTTGGCTTGTTGTTGCTGTTTGGATATTTTGTTCTAGGGTTGGGGTTGAGAGTTGGTTGTCTTGATATTGGTATTCCTATGGTGTGCATATACTCTTGCTCTTGCTTCCTTGGGATGCTTGGGATTGAGATTGAGCTTCCCTCCATCGAGGCTGGATTTGGTTTCTTTGATCGGGGTGTTTTATTGTTTCCTCGTATATATCCTTGGCTCTTTTGCTTTATTGGCGCAAGAACAGGATACGGTGTTTGGGTTTGGTGTTATTTTATCCTCAAGTGTACTATTCACTCTTTTTTTTTCTTTTCTCATGTCCTCTCTCTCTCTCTCTCTCTCTCTCTCTCTCAATTTTTCCTCTGTGGTGGTTGTTCCATGGTAGCGGATCTAGCATATCCGTTTGCGGTATATAGTAGTTATCAAGATCAACACCTACGAAGACATTTACATACAAACAGCTGTATATTATCTCGTCAAAACATTATATCCATCATCATAAACATTAGGGTATCGCAAATAAACCACTCATCCCCATACCTAAGACCTCCGACTATACTGACTTCCACCCCCATAAGCCAAAGGATCAACATGACTAACTCCCCTCCTCGACCTTCTTGCCGGCCGCGGCGAAATATCAGAAGGAACACTACTCTCCTCCTCCAAAACCTCAACGACATCCCCACCCCCAGAAGTAGAAGTAGCAAGTGATTCCTCAACAACAATCCGATCATGTCTCGACGAAGGCCGGCGCCGATAGCTATCCCGGAATGTCTCCCGCTCCTCCATAACCTCGATAGTATTATCGCTGTGCCGACGTCGAGATGGCCGCCGGCTCGCTCGTACATCGACGATCTCTTCTTCGTCCATTGATAATGACGACGAGACTGTTGGTGTGGGCCCGCTGCTTGCGCCTCGAGCGATCCCGCCTGGGTTCACTGCTAGGAAGAGGACGTACATTAGCAGGACGAAGCCTGCTACGCTGCCCAGCACGATTCCTACGACTGTTCCTGCTGCCGGGCTGTCGTGGAGGTGGCCGTAGGTTGAGGGGATGGAGATCGTTGTGTAGCGTTTTTGGTGGGAAGTTAGGAGGTGGGAAGTTAGGTCGTTTGGTTCGGTTGTGAGGGTTGAATTGGATGTCATTGCTTTGGTTTGTTTGGACTTGATGGGTTTGGGTTGTGCTCGAGGTAGGGGTTTAATTTGGAGGATTGCTTGTGTGAATCAGCTGAAAGATTGGTATTGTAGTTCGAGCGAGTGGATGAGTCGGTGTAAGCTGATGGGCGCTTAGAAGGGCCGATGCCATAAACGTGGGTAGTGGAGTTGGACAATATTGGCAGCTCAAGAATGAAGATGTTAATTGTAATTGCAAAGAAAAGAAAAGAATAATAAACAGGAAAGAAACAGAAATCGAAGGAGGTTGGGGGGTGGCTGGGATCTGCGGAGAAGTGGAGCGATCTACGATGTATACAATTCATCTCTCTTCATTTCACTTCATAACCTCAATTGTTGTATTTCTTGCAGTGGATACGCCTAAATTTACTTTAAATTTTCCCCATCACATCCTAATAAGCCCCCTTCCGCTTCGAATACTTCGGCTGCCCGGCCGCCTCAACCTCATCCAATGCCGTCGACACAGGAGTAGTATAAACCAACTCCAAACTCTCCACTTTAGCACCATCATCTTCCTGAGCCCACAAGCTCAAAGCAATATAGTTGCTCCCGCGATAGTTCAAAATTCCCTCGGGAACAGGGTAGCTAGTCTGAGGCCCAATATTGTTCACATACTTACCATACTGGTAGCCATTGACATAAAGCTGGGCACGATAAGCAGCAGGCGATGCCGTGCTATTTCCGAAATTGAAGTATAGGGGAACATCCCAGCCCTTCTCGATATCGAGATCGAAGCTCGTGCTGTAGAATTTGATTCCAGGCGCTGAGAGGCCGTCGAAGGGACTACCCGATTTCCAATCCTTGGTTGGTGCCGAAGGCTGATGGAAGCCCTGGCGTTCGGCGTAGAGACCGCCTTCATTGAGTGGACCGCGGACTTTGTCGATATAATCCTCGCCGCCAAGGTTGCCAGTCAATTTCCAGGTAATGGCGTCGGCGGATTGGCCGGAGAGATTGTAGTTGATTATACCGCGGGGGAGTTTCATTTCCTCTGAGCCGACGGTCCAGTCTTCGTTCAGGCCCATGTTGTCCACGACTATTGTGAACACGTAGGTCTTGCCCTTTGTTAGGGTTGGGAGGGTGTATGTTGCGTTGTGGTCGCTGTTGATGGAGATTCCGCCCCAGGACCCAATGTGTGTCTCGTTTAGCCAGACTGAGCTGCCGAATGCTAAGCCGCCTTGGGTGTGCACGAAGAAGGTCTTTTCATCACCCGTGGCGGTGAAGTGGCCTCGATAGATTAGGGTTCCGGTGTGGAAGCCGTAGTCGGACGAGTAAAGGGAGGTTGGGGTCTGGAGGGCGTGGACGTTGTTTTTGGTGCTGGCGTGGTCGGCAGCAACCCACTTAGAGTCATCGTATGTGTTTTGGATCTCGGGGAGGGTGTCAATGGCTTTCCACTTCAGACTCTTGAGTGTTGGGAGCTTGATCTTGGGTGCACTGTATGCGACGCTGCTAGACCAGATTCCGTTCTTGTCGACCTTGACTTGGGCCTTCTTGCCGTTGATAACTAGGTTCTTTGCGTTGGATGGCGCGCCGATCACCTCGATGGGTGTGGTGGCGTTGAAGTCGGCCGTGAGATGAAGGTCGCTGCCCTTCAGATAGGCAGTTCGCACAAGGTAGCCGGCCTTGACAATGACAGCTGAGGCGGCGGCATTTTGGGTGCTATAGCCAGGGCTAGTACCTGAGGCCGGAACCTGAGGGACCCAGTAATTGTAGGCAGAGTTACGGTCTGAGACATATTAGTATATTGTACAATGAATATCCAAGGAAGGGAAATTACTAACCAAGAAGCAAAACCTTCAAGTCGCCCACTTCGACAATACGACGAGTGGTGGAGACATCCCAGCCGATCACGACGGCCGTTCCAACCTGCTTGGTGGTGATACCCGACGAGGACCCCTCGACAACAGATGCCTTGGACGTGGAAGTGACTGCCAGCTCGTGGTGTTCACCAGGGCCGCCGTACAGTACAAGCACCTTGGATTTACCAACCTTGTTCCAGGTAAACACTTCAGCGGAAGAGTAGAGGATGTTGGTTCCCGCAACATCATAGTCAACAACATGGATCTTGGAATCACGACCACTGAGAGTCAAGCTTCCACCAAGCTGGGGAATTGTGACTGAGCCAGCGCTAGTAGAAACCTTGAGCTTGTAGTCAACTGAAGCTTGGCTTGAATAGTCATTGTGTCGGACCACGAAGAAGGAAGAAGCTGTGCTGTTACCACCGAGCAGGGGTGTCACGGCAATATCAGACGATGTAGTGTACGTGGAAGTAGTCAAGGCTCCTGGTGTCGCTAGCAAGTATGCCGGAGACGCCTTAGCAAAGTTTCCAATCAACTTAAGCTCACTGTACTTCTCGCGGGTGATATTTCGAGACTCGGTAATGGGAGAGCCATAATCATACGAAGTATAGCCACCTGGGTGACCAAGATTACCCCAGTTGGTACCACCAAAGATCTACAGATGTTAGTCCACGTTCAATGGCTGCAGGGGTTAGCAACATACCATGTACAGGTTCAGGAAAGCAACCCTGAAACTGAGGTTATTCTTATAGAACACTCTCTCAAACTCATGGTTCAAAAGAGCAGCACACTTCGTGAACCCAACCCCTCCCCAGGGATCAAACGCTCCACCTTGGAATTCAACCAGAGAGTAGGGAGTCGCAGGGCTTTGCTTCATGTGCGTTTGATACCACCCAGTGGGCAAGTTACCAGAGGGCCAAGTAGAAGGGTTGGCACAGTCAAAGCCGAGGGGGTAGCTATCATGACCGTAGATATCAACCGCTCCCTTGCCAGTGCTAGGTGCGTTGTGACCACCAGCCCAGGCATCATTGCTAATCAGTGGCACGACGACACCAGCATTGCGCGCTTGGTCCTCGACATACTGCATGTAGACTGCATCTGGGAAACCATTGTATCCACAACAGGCACCGCTGTACTCGTTTTCGGGCTGATACAGAATGATCGGACCGCCTTCTGTGATTTGGCCTTTGGCAATTGTTGCAGCGACATTGGCGATGTAGCTAGACAGAAGTTAGTCTCAATGTCATCTGTGAGCTCGGTACCATGGGCTATCACATACTTATCAGTTGACTTGAGGTAAGCCTCATCACTAGTTCGCAGCGTTCCATTCACACGCTGAAGCCAGCCTGGGAAACCGCCACCCGATGCTTCGGCATTGATATAGGGACCAGGACGAGCAAGGAGATAGATACCAGCCTCTTTGGCGGCATCAAAGAAAGGCTCTAGCGCAAAGATTCCCTCGGCGGTATATTGCCCGGGTTTGCCCTCCAGCAGATTCCAGTCAACATAGAAAGAAACACAGTTGAATCCTAAAGCCTTGACCTTTTGGAAGACATCAATCCACAAAGATGGAACAGGCAGACTATACAGAATATGAGTCAGTAAGGATCCCTTGACAAAACAATCCATTCATCGCATGTCTCACTTACCGGAATGGGTGGACTTCACCACTGAACAACATGATCCTCTCGCCATTGACGAAGATAGACTTCTCATCCCATGTCACCTACAAAACCCAATCAGCATGACAATCCACCCTCACGAAAGAATGGAGCCAGAAATACATATTTCTGAAGCAACGCCCGCTTAACAGGATCCGAATGCTCGGTGATCGTCAACCCATTCAATTGATGGCTGATAGCAGCACCAGCAGCCTGGACCGCCAAACAGGCAATGGCCCAAGTAGACGAGAGCTTCATAATTCCAGCCTCGACAATTCACAATTCACTCACAATTAACGCGGGGAAAGCAAAGTGTGAAGAGGAATCCTCAATCCAGGGGCAGACAGACATTCATATAGTAGTAGCCAGTCGGGACATCATTGACCGACACCAATAACCGGAATTTTTCGACCATGCCATATGCAAACAATTAACAATTGCTCTAGTACTGATCGGTACTGTTTTCCATAGCTCCGTGGTCCCTTTCGTCATTTGCAGGGGTCTTGAAATTGAGGGGTTGGATGCAGCGTTGCATAGTTGCATAGTGTGGAGAGAGACCAGCCTCACAAGGCAAGCGGAGCGATGATCCCTAAGCTTGTTGCACTGTAAAAGGCGGGCCACCGCCGCGATTTCTCCGTATATCGTATGGTTGGAGTTTTAGGCTGGGGCTGTGGTTGGTGAGGGTGAGATCTTGAAAGTTAACCTGTATACAGCCTCCGCTCCGCTCGGATCCCAATGGTCAATATCGCCATTTCGCCATTTCGCCATTCCTCCGTTAAACTCGGGAATGAAAGCTGCGGGGAAGGTGGAGGAATTTAACCGGCGCATTAATTATTGCTGCCGACGATTCTCCGGCATCTTACAACTGCAGATCCCTGGGATCAGGGAAAAAGCGAGGGAAATGAGAAAAGTGAGAAAATTCATGAGATTGGCTTTTTAGTACATTGCATGTATTCCGGGCTGCACGTAAACAAGGGTCCATTAGATGGTGGTATTGAAACGGTCCTCCTCGTCGCCGTCCTTGGTGTATGTCTCGCGTGTATCCATCTGTTCCTGTTCATCTTCTCCCAACTGGGCATTCTCGCTCTTCATGACTTCATCCTCTGCTCCAGCAGTGGGAGTGCTGTTGCCACCCTTCTTCTGGGTGGTGTTAATAAGAGGAGTGGAGTCGTTGAAAATACGCAGCAGCATGGCGCGGCGGTCTTCCTTGGGAAGCATGAGGTTCAGAGAATGGAGAGAGCGCCACAAGGGCAGAACCATCCGCTCACTGTAATCATATTAGTAAATGCGTAACTAGCCCCGGAAAAATAGAATGTTCCAAAAGACTTACGTGAGACCGTCTTCCTCGCCGGTTGGTTCAACGCGCAGGATACTGCATCCCATTTCGATGTCCTTCACGCGCTCACCAATCTCGCCAAGCTCCTTCCAAGCATCATCGTTGACCTTGGGGAACATTTCCACAAGAAGGTGACGCAGAGTCTCCTTCTTGGTCAGAGTGACGGTGCGCTCCGGGCCCAACCAAGGCTCGGCGATCTTGAGACCATCCGTTTGCATACGCCACCTGCAGACGTTCTCACGCTGTGCGTCCTGCTTAACGAACATCTTCACACCGCAGTGGACAAACTTCATGCCCTGGCCTTCGTTGGAGACGAGAATATCCCGAGCCAACGCGCTGGTGTAATAGACGGTCCGGGTGGGAAGACCCTCGGCATTGCGGACCATGAAACGGTCACGGGGGAAACGCTCGGAAAGCTTGTAGAACTCGTAGACAGGAACAAGCTCTTCGTGGTTGGGGTCAAGGTACTTGAAAGGCTCCTCTTGGCGAGGTCCCTTCTTCTTCAACTGCTCAGGAGCAGCGGATGTGGGTGTGCTATCGCCAGCATCGGGGATACCAGTTCCCACTGAGGGCGCAGGACGGTGAACTGGACGGTCACCGATGAGGACCTCACTGCCATCATCGAGCTTGGTGCGCTTGGCAGGAACTTCCTCTTCAAGATCACCCGCATCTCGCTTGGGGAGAGAGCCAGTAGTAGACTCGTCAAGGGTAGCGGAATAAGGAAGTTGGTGAGTGGCCTCGGCAACGCTGGCATTTTTTGCGGCCTCCTCCTGAGCCTCCGGGTCGGGAGCGACGAGGTCATCCAGGGTATCGAGCTTCTCCAGCGGCTTTCCATCATCTCCCTTCTTAGAATCGAGCTCAGCGGCGAGAGCGGCAACAGAAGCCTTGGGGATGGCGTTGGTGTTCTCCGGCTTGGCGCGAATCTCAGAAGTCTTCTCGAGAACGGTAATGAAGAAACCACCAGTGTCCTGCTGGTGAGGGTAGACACGCATGCAACGGTCGAGAGGCAGATCAGCACCCTCACCAGTTGGAGCGAACATGCCCTCAGCGAGTCTGGCAAGACCGTTGACGCCTTCTTGGTCACGGTGCTCCTCGACGTCCTTCCAGCTCTTCCACAGACGGCCCTCACGGTCCATCACTTTCCAGTTTCGCAAGCCAGGAGCTCTCTTGAGGCCGGGTAGTTCGGCGCTGCAATCGATGATCTTGACATTGGCGGCACCACCGCAGCGCTCAATGGCACTGGCGACAACAGCCTCGTTCTCAACGGGGTTCAGACTGCAAGTGGAGTAGACGACACGTCCACCCACCTTCAGCATCTGCAGAGCGCGGACCAAAATGCGGGCCTGGATAGAGTAGAGTCCCAAAGCATTGCCAGGGATCCATTCCTTCCAGACACCGTAATTCTTACGAGCGGTACCATCACCGGAGCAAGGGACATCTGCCAAAATGCGGTCAAACTTCAAATATCTGTTCTGGGTCTTTCCCTCGGCATTGGTCGTAGGAGGCAGCTTAATGGAGGGGAACATGGTAGCGTCGTGGTTCGTAACAATCAGGTTAGGCGAGCTCAAGCGCTTCATCTGGTGAATCAGCATGTGAGCGCGCTTGTAGTCGCTATCGTTCGCAATCAACAAGCCAGTGCTGCGGCCATCATCGTTCAGTCCTTCGGGGCCGAGGGGTTCGGGTCCAACATCGCCCTTCTTGACCTGCTCGGCAACCTGCGCAACGGACTCTTCCTCGCCTGCATGAAGCAGCTCCATAAGCTGCGCAGACTTACTGCCCGGTGCGGCGCACATGTCCAGCACGGTCATTCCAGGTCTAGCATCTATGAGGAGAGGAGGAATCATGCTGACAATTTCCTGACGACTGATGTTTCCGACGTCGGTCTCGGCGACAAGGAACTTCTGGAACGAGGCGAAAGGAGGGAATCGTCGAATGATGTTCTTGGGAGTGGTCATGGACCAGGCGAGCTGGTCCGGGTACCACGAGACTGGGGTGGGAGGCTCAACGAATTGGTCCTCATACTTAATAGAGGTGATCTCGGGAATGTGGTGGTCAATGAGACGTTGCTGAACAGCCAATGCGTGTCTGTATATTGTGCGTTAGTCAGTATTGCTTGGTCCCCGCGAGGCGCAAGTCGTGATAGCCTACCCTCGAGAACCTGTGAAACGGAAGCTGTTTGGGAGATCCTTCTTCATGGTAGCCCAGAAGATCTCTCTCTCCTCCTCTGGGAGGAATTCAGGCTCATTGTAATAGCGCTCGAACTTCTCGTTTTCTCTGCTGATATCCTGCCAAATAGAGCGCGTGCGGCCACTGCCACCACCGCCGCCCCCGCGACCTCTACCGGACTGTATGAAAGATGGTCAGTCGAGCCTCTCAATTGACATATAGGTTGAAACATACCTTCTTGCCTCCTCTTTTGCCCATTGTTCAAGTGTGATGGGATTTGAGACGTTTGCTCCGACCGAAATTGCTGTCAAAAAATCTCCCGTTATCATGCTTAGTCATTGCCGAACCGGGGCGATCTGGAGCCGGATAAAGTTCGAGACGTTGACTTATGCTGCTTTGCATTTTTGGCCAACATGTTTGCCCTGCGCCTTGGGCCTTGGGTTTTAGGTCTTGGTTAGTCTCCAGGTCTACATATCAAATATATATCAATATCGAAGCTTCTCTCCTCGCCTTGCCGGTACATTGGAGTCTCTTGACTGTGGACGGCTGACAGAGTACTGCTGCTGAACCGCTGTGCACCTCTGGAAATAGGCAAGAAGAAGTGAAGAAGGAGACCCCGGCTGCAATACCAATTCACGAATATTACAATTGACTTGATGCCATGGCTTCCGTGTGGATACTGATGGTACCTGGTGAGTGGCAGTGTATACGGCACAGTCGGAACAGGACTCGGACATGCACTTCAGGAAACTTCGCGAGGTACTGCTGGACCACGGGGTCGAGTCTGTTGGCGAGGTTTTCGTACAGCATTCTCAGGGCGGTTTGTAGTCCAGGCAAGTGAGGGTTTGTTGCCTCCTCACACAGCATCCAGTTGAACCCGATGTTACGCCATTAACATTTCCGCGAGCCACCTATGGACCTAGAATCTGTATCTTCTCACGTTTTCGATGCGTAGAAGGAAGTCAGCCACACTCTCGGTGTCGTCATCGACTGTGCGCTTCCAGGGCTCCAGACATTGCAGCACAGCGACTCTGTCGAATGGTTCGACGAACTGAACGGTCTCTTCGCCGTTGCCAAAGAGGGCCCAGACTCTGTGCATGCTCCTTACTTGCGCGAATGCAAACGCTTTGCAGGGTGATGATGCACTCTGTGATGTCGGAAAACATAGCCCATGCCGTGTCCCTGTCAACATTGAGAATTCTGCGGAATCGGAGAAAAGGACGAAGGGGATTGGAGCTGAGAGAAACCTTCTTCTTCTTCAGGGAGATGACTGTCTGCTGGTCAAGAAGATTGCTAATCAGATTCTCCCCATCTTCTTCACTGAACTGTTCCTCGCAATTGATGTGAACGGTGAAAAATTGCGGACGATAAAACGGGGAGAAGCTTAATGGAGCTTCGGGGTGAAGGTCTCGGCTGCGGGGGAAGGTACGGGGAAAGAAAGGAGAAAATCTTAACGAGCTGAGGCCAGGCAACACAGAGCATTGAGCTGCAAGCTTAACGGACTACGAGTGAACCCTTTAGCGATCTTTATCACAAACTACGCACCGTTCAAGTAATGTCAAACGCCTGTTCGAAATAGATAATTAACGAGACGCTTTAGTGACACAGCTTCTATTCACAACTCCACGTCTATGAAGTACACTGCTTTAACAATACCTCTAATAACACGCGCTAAAGAACGAGCCAGGGTACCAAACTTCCCTTAAAGAAAACGGATTCATATAGACAGTCATCAAAAGATCAAAGGCGGCCGAAATAAGCCAATATGATTCTACATATCATGCATAAGTTCGAGTCATGTAGGCTCAAGCAAGACGAGTTCCCCGGCATGCATTCTCTGCTATGATAGGGACTTGCGAGCAGATTGGTAGGCTTGAGTAGTGTATCCAGGCACGGCTAACCGGACAATGATAGGTATATGATGAATAGAAGTAGACGGTTAGGAGATGGGATTGGAAACGCAATGCTTGGTATTGTAGGCAGTAAAAACATATACGATTACAACTACACTACAGCTACACAGCTACACAGCTACATCAACTCACAGCTACACTAAGCCCAAAAGTAGAACAAACAAAGGAGATAATTGGTGCGTTTGCTGCCTCGGCAACAAACTATATAGTCTACTATGGCAAACCATTAATTGCTATTTCACACACAGAATTTGGGATCTAACAGCCCAAGGCAATGATTGATAGTACATTCAAACCAAAACCGCCAAGATATCCACGAAGGGACATTCAGCAGTCATCTTTCACAACGCGATCTTACTCTAGACAAGATTACGAGATCATGCGGGACATGTCTCCACGGATGCGCTGGTAGTCGAGGATACCCTCGATGCTGCCGACGGCGCTCATGGCAAGGTCCTGATCCCACAGCTTGCGGGTGGCGAAGTCCATGACGTCCTTCTCGGTGATCTGGCTGACGGTACGCTCGATGTCCTCGGCGCTGAGGCGGCGGCCGGTGGTGATGATCTGGCGGCCGATGTCCTCGGCGACGGCGGTGGTGCCGTCGAGGGACAGGAGAATGGAAGCCTTGAGCTGGGCCTTGGCACGCTCAACCTCGGCGGAGGTGACGTTGTTGCAGAGGCGAGACCACTCGCGGAGAGTGAAGTGGATCAGGTCATCGAGCTGAGTCAGGTTCTCGCTGACGAGGTAGATACCCCAGAGACTGTATCAAGTTAGGGCGTGATGTTAAAATATATAAGTATTTGACTTACCCGGTGTCGCTGTAGCTGGTGGAGAAGCTCATGAAGCTGTTTGCGAGGTTGTGGTGGCTGACGTGGGAGCTGAGCTTGCTGCCGAGGAAGGGCGACTGGCCCATGGCGCGGTCCCAGTTGCCGACGATGGCCTGGGTGACAAGGGCGGTGAAGTAGTCATCGTCCTTCCAGCTGACACCCTCGACGGCGAGAGCGATGTGAGCGGAGGGGATGGTGTCGTCACGGAGACGGACCTCAGAGCCAATGAACTCTGGGGTGCGCTTCTGTTCGGCAGTGAGGGCGAGGGCAGCGGAAGTAGGGGGCTTGCTGGGGAGGGCACCGAAGTGCTCCTCGGCAAGGCGGACGAGCTGCTCGTGGGGGATACCACCGGCACCGACCAGGACCATGCGGTCAGCAGTGTAGTTGGTCTTGATGTAGTCGGTCAGGTTGTCACGGGAGATGGTCTGGATGTTCTCCTTGGGGCCGAGGATGGTGCGGCCAAGAGGCTGGCCCTGGTAAGCGGTGGCGTGCAGGTGGTCGAAGACGACCTCCTCGAGCTGCTTGTCAACCTCCTCCTGCTCGCGCAGGATCACGTCACGCTCACGCTCAATAGCACCGGGCTCGAGCTTAGAGTTCTGAAGGATATCGGCGAGGATGTCGACGGCCTTGGGGACATCGTTGTTGAAGGACTTGGCGTAGTAGACGGTGTTTTCACGCTGTGGTCGCAATTAGTATTGATCCGATATAGGTTGATGGATGGTTTCCCGGTCGTACCGAAGTGTAGGCGTTGAGGTGAGCGCCCATGTTCTCAATCTCAAGCTCCAATTGGTGCTGGGAGCGCTTGTTGGTGCCCTAAATATATTCATCAGAAGATCGCTTCGAGGATTGAGGCTGAGGGTGTCGGACCTTGAAGGCGAGGTGCTCGAGGAAGTGCGCGGTTCCGTTGGTCTTGTCAGTCTCTGCCCGGCTACCGGCATCGATCCACACGCCGACCGTGGAGGTTTGAGCCCATGGCGAGTGATCAGTGGCAATCTAGACACATATTAGCTAGTCGACGATAGCATTGATAATATTAGGCGTACCGTGAATCCGTTGGAGAGGGTGGTGGACTGGGTGGTGGACGGCAGCGCAACCGGCGACGCAAAGCCACGCTTCACGGGCTGGATGGACTTAAGAGCCGCACGGCTGCGGAGAGCCTGGTTCAGGTTGAAAGCTAGGCGCCGAGAAGCCATTGAGGACGACTTTTATAGGTGGGAGGGAGGGGAAAGGGGGAGAGATGGAGAAAAGAGCTGATGGAGACGCCCTGAGGTTGAAGTTCGGAAGTCTGAAATTGTTCGCCTTCGCCAGCCAATCACATGACCCGCTTTTCCAAACCGCCCTTCCCATCCCGAATACTTCCTTGCGCTGTCATTATGGGGCAAAGAGCATGTTTATGATCTCAATGGCTTGTATTTATGCTTGGTTGAGTGTGGGGGTTATATTATATGACTTTTATAGCTCTATTCCGTCAATATCACCAATATCCCTCAATCCAAATTCATGTCTATTGATTGGCTACATTATACAAAGCCACTTCTTATACAAATCGACTGGCAAACTGTCTGATATTCTCCTCCATCGAAATATCAGCCGAGAATCCCAACTTGAAAGCACGTGCAGTATCAAACTGCGGAGTCCACGATTGCACGATCTTGTCGGTGGCAGCATCATATTTCTCCTCAACAAGAGCCCGACGCTCCTTACCACCGACCTCCAGCAGTGCATCCAACATCTGCTGAATACTGACCTTCAATCCAGGCAGGTTAACGGATCTGGACTCGCCAAATGCCTCCTTGGGAATGTTACGGGCATGGATCAAGTTCTTGATCACAGTGTGCGGCGAGCAAATCCACATTTCCGTCTCCTTGGCTACAGGGAGAATAGCCTTCTTGCCATGGAACGGCTCACGAATAATATCACTCGCGAAGCTGCTAGCAGCCTGTGTAGGCTTTCCGGCTCTCACTGTGACTGTGGGAAGGCGCACGCATCGGCCGTCTAGGAATCCTCGGCGCGAGTAGTCATTCAGGAGAGTCTCGACGATCAATTTCTGCGATCCATATGAAGATGAAGGTACCGGCGGGAAATTTGTCTCATCAATGACGAATCCTGGGGCTGCAGGGCCGTAGACTGCCAATGAGGATGTGAAAACCACTTTCGTTCCGGGCATGGTCTTGCGTAGCCGGTCGAGAATGTATCTTACCGAGTCGAGGTTGACCCGGACTCCCAGCTCGAAGTTGGCCTCTGAGCCGCTGGACATGATGCCGTGCAGGATGTAGACTGTTTCGTAGGGGCGGGATTCGTTGATCAATTCGTCGACCTCTTGGGGTGAGGTGAGATCTGCCTTGACTGTGCTCAGGCGGCTTGCATTCTGTGCAGCTGACTCTGGGATCTCGGGCTTGACCATATCGGTGATGGTCACGGTTGTTGTAGCAGGTGTGCTTGCAAGCAGACCCGCGGCCAATTCCTGACCGACGTAGCCCCCAGCTCCAGTGATGAGGATGGACATGTTGAACGTACTTTCGATAGATTATATCTTGGGGTCAAGGATATTAGTACAAAAGAATAAGTTATGTAGATCCAGAACCCATGGCATCCTTTCGGCCTTTATATAGTCGCCGTCCACGCTTTGCGGGGTTGGAGCGGAGTCCAATCTCTCCCCCCACGCTGCAGCTTCAACATGTCTCTCCACCAATGATAGAATCGTGTTTTACTCAGTTGACCACTTGAGCCAAGTCCCACGCATCAATTCCGATCCATGTTGTGGTGATCCTCGGTGAGATATCCGATTGCCGGGAGGCCCGGCGCAAGTCCGAGATGCCTACCTGTGAGAGCAACGTTTAGCCCTGACAACCTTAGGTTAGAGAGCATACCTTTTATCATATAGTTTAATCTTACAAAATGACAACTTACTGGAATAACTCCCAAGGTCTCAAATGAATAGTGTAAATTATTCGTTATACGCTAAATGTTTTACGGGAAAAGATGCTCGGAAATATAGGAGCAAGCAGAGAGGAGAACCCTTCGCAAACTCAGCGAGCATCATAATGCTGAATAACTAGATTCAATCTATGTCGTTATTACATCCACAATTCGGGTCTGCGTTATGGGCTAGGAATCCTTTTGTAAGTTACTGTCATGGTAGGAACATCTATATGAAGATATTTGGTAAGTTATGGGATACTTGGGCTAAATCAGCGTACGCTATGGTCGTAATCTTATCTATTTCAAAGGGCATATTGATATTCATCCGTGGGTAAAATGCATCTGTAAAGTTTGGTATGAAGGATCCTGGTGGCTATTGAACAAGATGGGCATTCATGAGAACACCACTCTCGATCAAACAACCAGCTGGTTGAAAAGCGTTTTTCTTTTACTACCTCGTGAAGAAGAAGAATTGTGTTTGCTTTGAAGTTTTCGTTGTCGAGACTGTTTGGCAATGTGAAGAGTTGAGAGGTGATCTGGTCGGCATTAGTCTGTCATTTTATTCAACTAGGCATTGTCTATGTAGGTAAATTAGGTACTAGGAAGGTTTTGAACAAGGACCTAAATAAATTGTAAACACAACTGGTAATTTCTCTCTCATTTCTAGGTCCTGTATGTGTGGAGTCGGTAGATCAGGAAAGCTTGGAGAGACTTGAGTCATTATCAACACAAGCTACGGGATACACCATGAAAGCATAGAAGTGGCTAGCAAGGCTAGGAATCACTTGAATTGGACACTAATTACTGCGGATATCATACTCCATCCAGAGCCATCTCATCATCTCATCACCTCAGATCAAGACAGAGTGACACATTCCAGCGTGTACAATTCGAAAATGGAAACTAAATTTTGAGACGCAGCCAAAAGTACATGGGCAGTAAAAACCTGTCACAAGAAACGGGGAAACAATTCGATACATCACAACACGAGACGCCGAGGAGAACATCAAAAGGGAATGGACATGACCAGAGACTAAGAATCACCTTTATGCGGAGCGCTTGTACAGACCAGCGACGATACAGTGGTCACGCTCGAAAGGCTCAAGGGTCAGCTGCTCCTTGGGCTTAATCTTCTCCTCACGCATCTTCTGGACCTCGCGGGCGAACACCACCTCGGGCTTGGCCGTGGAGTCGATACAGTTGGCCTTGATGGAGACAATGACACCACCCTCAGCCTTGAGGAACATGTGGGCGTTGAGACCGACAATACGGGCCTGGTCGGGCTGGGCAACATCGGCGAAGATGACATCGACCATGGGCACGAGCATACGGTAGCGGAGGGGTGACGGGCATCCTCGACAATGGGGATGACGTTGGTACGGTGGGTGGCCATGCCAATCAGATCACGGCCAGAGCGGTGAGAGAACTCGACGGCGTAGACGTTACCGGTAGGACCGACGATATCAGCAATGTGAGAGACGGAGGTACCGCTGGCACCACCGAGGTAGAGAACCTTGGCACCGGGCTTCATGTAGATCTCATCGAGACCACCGAGGATACCGGCAGCCATCTTGGAACGGAAGGGGTTCCACACACGGTACTCGACCTTGGTGACGGCACCATCCTCGTTGGCAGGGCCCTCGACGGAGATACGCTTCTCGCCGTAAACGGCCTCACCAGGGGTCAGGTTCTTGGTGACGAGCAGATCCTCCTTGCCACCGCGAGCGACGAAGACACCAGCGTGACGGTGGGGCTCCTGTGGAAGGAAAAAAGACCCTGTTAGTGACTGATTTCAATGTCCCTGAGATTTTTTTTGAGAAACTTACAATGATAACCTTGGCACCACCGCGAGCACCGCCGCCACCGCGGGGAGCACCACGGCCACGGGGAGCACCGCGACCACCACGAGGGGCACCACGGCCACCACCACGGCCACCACGGCCACGGTCACCACCGCCGAAACCACCACGGCCACCGCCTGAAGAACTCGAATCAGCAAAGTGAAATTATACCAGTAAGCCGGTGTGGTGTGCATATTGTGAGTGTCGAGTTGGTAGAACCAGCGACACTAACGATGCGCAAGCTTGCGGCTTCAAACGGATGGACTGAACAAACCTCGACCACCGCCACGTCCACGGTCACCACCACCAAATCCACCACGTCCACGAGGGGGACCACCACGGCCACGAGGAGCGAAAGCCATTGTATAGGTTTGGAGAAAAACTCGGTTGGAAAGAGTTAAAGGGGAGGTAGGAGGTTGAGCTGTCGTTTCCGAAGGCTCAGACCGGTGTAGAGTTGAAACTGAGAAGAAACGGTCCCAAGAGAGTCGAGGAAGGAATTAAAAAAAAGGATTGCAGATCCGAGTTTACTGGATCAAGCAGTTAGAACAGAATTGGCCGCTGACTGTTTGTCGGGTGCGGGTCGATACCGTTGCTGCTCGTTGATGCGGTCGAGATTTTTTTGCGCTTTGGGATCTTTCAGAAAATCAGAACTGCGCTAGTCTGTTTCGGTGCTAGCGCTCCTCGTCCGTGTGGAATCATCACGTGATACTCTGTCGCCGATAGCGAGATCACGTGGTACGTCTTAGCCCTGCATGAAGTTGTTGATTGATCATTGAAATTGAAAGTGTAGTTATATTTCGTAAATAACGCTAGGTTTCGCCCTTGGGCATTAGAATAGAAAGTAACAAGAGACAAAGGCCAACCCGCAAAACTCATAGTCGTAACCTCCATCGAGGTCTATGTACAAAGCAAGAATATTCCAATCATTCCCCGAAGAAATAGTAGTTTGCAGAATACTGCATCTGAAATGCAGCAGGCAAACCCTTGCAGGTCTTTGGAGGTGACCCAGCCGCAGTGTCAACTCGATAGACACTCTTGTAGTTTCCAATGGTGCCATCAGTGGTGGTGAGGTAGAGCCAGGCAACGGCGCCATACTTGCCGGAGGTAGCATCAGAAGGCGCAGCAATCTGATCTTGCTTCTTCGTCATTACAATGCCGTCCTGCTTGTCTGGTGTAGTGTTAAGGTTGAACTCCGGGGTCGTCGCATCAAAGAAGAAATGATGTCCCATAAGCTCAATGTTGGCAGGGGGGAAAGAGGCCAGTTCGTTGGTCGGGAGAGTAATCTTGTATGCGATGCTCGGGAGTTTCTCAACAATACTTGGGTAGTTGGCTGCGAGACATGTGGCATTATAAAGCCTTGCGATGGCCCCTGCTGCCACTGGTGTGGTATTGGATGAAGAGCTCGCACATGTATAGTTCTGGGTGCATTGTGAGTTATACTATTCAATTGAAAACTCGAGATGCTCGCATACCTGAGTGCCACGTCCAAGTGCAACATAGACTGGCTTCAAGCCTGTGGGACCGGGAAGACCTGAGGCGTAGGAGGGCAGAGCAATCTTGGAGATGTCGCAAGCATCTGGTGATCTGATGTTGTGCTTTGCGGAACTGATGAACTGGCTCACTTTTCCGTAGAAGTCAGCCAGCTCATCTGACCAGTCGTATGCATCGTCTAGGAAGTTCGTTGGGGCAGCAAGTGAGACTGCTGCCAGGCAGGTGAGAAGGGAGATGAGACGCATTGCTGACACTTTGCGCTGAGTGGAGGAGAGTGGTCGTGAACGGCGGTGGCTTTTTAAATAATACTAAGGATTGTCCAGCAAGCCTTGAGTAGCACTCGGTCGGATATGAAGGAACGGGGATAAAGCGTGGTGAAGAAAGGAGTGACAGGAGAGGGAGGGATTGACGTGAATCCATTCGGGTCAGAGCAGAGATACATATAGAAGCGATTGTTAATTGCAGAATCCTCCAATTCAAGCATGCATCAAAGATAGTAACACACGTCTGACTCGAAACAATGCTGAATCTATAAACGGAGTGATCGATGCAACCTGCAGGTACTAGCAAGGGTTAAGGCTCGACCGCGATTTCTTATTGGTAGATGGACGCGCCCAGGGCTGCTTCCTCCAGCCTTGCTGCTCTCTGATTTGTCCTCGGCCACAAACGACTTTGGATTAATCAGGATAGCAACGCGCTAAGCAAAACAACGGGGGTTCCCAATGGCGGTTCGGCAGAGCTACCAGCACCATAGGGCCAATGTGGAGGGCTCTATTAATTCCCCGGCTATTAATAAATCTCACAGAAGAGGAGAGCATGTGTGCTAGGCGATTAGATGTGCAGGATTCTTGCCACTGTAGGCTAGTGTGCAGATATGCGGAGGTATTGCTGGGTCATGATCCTAGAGCCCTTGTGCAGGACTCGGGGAATTGTTGCAGGCATAGTACATGGGCTAATATAGTACCTTTGTATATCAGGTAGATATTCTTCAGCCCTGCCATCAACTGCCATCAACTGCCATCAACTGCCATCAACTGCCATCAACTGCCATCAAGTTGAATATTCTGTTCTTGTCCTTGGACTTCTTACGGGGGCTGGTTGAGGGGGGATGAGAGGGGCTGGGCTCACTCCGCACCCTTTACAACGCACTGGCGCGTAGAAAACGCCATTTCTTACACCGAAAAGTCCTGATCCGTCATTCCGCTTTAATTAACCTATTTATGTCAAAGCCAATTCCTGCTTTTGTTAACAGGCATTTTCGGACCCGGTTCGTTTAACCGACGCAAGCCACCCAAGATATATATACTTGCATTGCACAATGTCGACACTAATGCACCACATCCGAGGAAATTGTCCGGATCCACGCTTACCTGCACTAGTCGCTTCCATAAATGTTGCGGGGTCTACAAATGAACAGGACATACTTTCTCTGATATCCGAAAGTCAACATTGGAATGGATATATCATCATGTGGATTGGCTATCTTTTCATCAATCTTAAACTCGCAATTATTTACTTCATGAAGCCCGGGTGGTCTAGTGGTATGATTCGCGCTTAGGGTATCCAAAACCTAAGCACTCCTGCGCGAGGTCCCGCGTTCGATCCGCGGCTCGGGCCTTCAATTTTTTGCCTCCTACCCAAATTCGTATAGCATTACTCTGAATCTGGACTCGCAAGGCCTTTTTTGTCAAGTTCGTTTCTTGATAGCTCTCAGTTCTGTTCTACCGAATGGTTCAGTGTGTTTGTCCTCGGTAACACTAACCGTGCGAGCATGGGTGGATTTCTATATCTGAGCATATGGGCACCCGAAGCCACTCATAATACTTGCCAGTGGACCTGAATAAAGAGTCCACCCTTAAGCGAAGGCCGAAAGGTATGATTATCTATCTGCTACAAAAAAGGAATTTGATAGCTTGATCGGCTAAAGATGATCATGTCACAAGAGCTCCAATGCATATCCCAGGAATGACCAGCCCAATGCGTCATTACGCAGAACTCTACAGTCGCCTGATGCAACATAGTCACAGACATACAGATAGATATATTGCCAGAACTCAAATTTACACAGGATGCAGCTAGACCCACACCCAAGAATAGAGAGAGAGAGCACTCAATCCCAAACGCCACAGATGATCCATAAAGAAACAAGGAAATAGAACTCCGATACCCTCGCTGTGAGAACAAAAAATAGAACATTAGTGGAATCCTTCCTGCTGCCAGTCATCGCCGTGCAGCTGACCCGTGCCACTGCCTGTGCCACTACCACTACCCCCACCTCCACCGTAAGCAGCCGCGGCGGCGCTACCAACTGCGCCCATAGCGCTATGCTTCTCAATTTCCGTGGTACTCATTATGTAGAGGACAACGAAAAGGAGAACGTGGAGCGCAAAGCAGTAGCCAGCGAATAGGTTGCGACTTGTTCGGTTTGCAAGGATGACGCGGGTGAGAGAGAATACGATTCGCTCTGGTAGGCTCATACGTTTGTATGCACGGGTCGATTCTCGGCCTCGGAAGGCGGCGAAGGGTGAGATCCGAGCTTCGTAGGCGTTCTGGTATCGGTCGAGGGATAGACCTGATGGTGTATCTGCGGATGTATACACAGAGGTGGAGCTGGGTGTGTTTGCATATGATGATGCGGATGCGGATGCGCCCTGGCCTCGGCTGTAGGTTGAAACGTATCTTGTCTTCTCATAGAGACCCAGATTGTCCTTCTGGAGAGATGCAACTTCCTGTCGGAGAGATTTGACGGTAGCGTACAACTTTGACATCTCTTCTTCGAGTTCGGCGTTCTTCTTCTTGAACCGATCTCGCTGCGCTTGGATCATTGGTAGAAGCCCTGATCCGCCGCCTACTGCCTCTCCCGCGCGAATTGCATCCATGGTATTTGCGGATGCGGCGCCCTGGTCAAAGCCGGAGATGATAGAGGAGGTGGGCGATGATGCACCGCGGCGGGCAGAGTGAGGGTATCTGGAAGTGTATGTTCCTGCAACAGACATTGCCCCTGACGGGAATGAGTTTGCAGCCTCCTCTTGTACACGAAGAAGATCGTTTTCAAGAGTGGTTGAAAGGTTTCGAGACTTCTCGAGCTCCCCCTTTGAGGTGGAAAGCTCGCTCCGCAGGGTTTCAAGCTGACCTTGGATATCACGGTGGGACACCCGCAGAAGAGTGAGCTCATCTGTCAACTTCTTGTTCCGGGCCATGAGGAGTTGCTCCAGAGAGTTCTTGTCCTTCGATTTGGTCGCATCACCATTAGTCTCAGTCGCCTTGCCTTCAGCTCCATCTCCAGCCTCATCATCATCCCCAGTTGCAAATTCAATGGATCTGATCATCTCCAGCTCTCGACGGATCTCATCATAATCAGCGACCTTCGCCAACCGCGAGCGCAGCTCCTCTTTCTCGACCAATGCCTTTGATGCAGTTCTCTCCGATTGAAGTAGCTTAGCCTCCCAAGTGTGTTTTTCGGAGTCTTTATCGAAGCGCGCAGCATCCAATTTCCGCAACAAGGAAGAGTTCTCCGACTGAAGACGAAGATATTCAGGGTCATCCTCGACCGAGACTGGAGCAGAGTGCGAATGCGAGGCAGCCTGAGCCAGCTCGATACGCAATTGTTCATTGCGTGCTTCCACATCCGCTAGCCTTAAGCTTGTCTTCTCCAGGTCGGCAGAAACAAGCTCAAGCTCGGCTGCACTGGCACCACTTCGCGAGGCATCATTCTCATCGCTTTCACCCTCGCCGAGGCGCTGGGAGACTTCATAGCTTGCCTTGAGCTCCTTGATCAAGCGTTCCTGGTTCTCTACCTTTTCCTCCAAGCTTTTCTCCTTGGCAGCCCAGTTGTTCGTCTTTTCTGTCAAGACAGCTTCCCACGATGCCTCAATTTCCTTGGCCCTCGATTCTTGGTTTTCTTCCAACTTCTTCCGGGCAGCGCGTTCCTCCTGTAGGCGTTTCTCGGTCTCTTCTTGCTGCTTGGTGAGACGATCCACGGACTTTTGCAATTGATCCCGCTCCGATGTCAGCTTCGGGACTGTATCTTCGGATAGAACGAGGGAGTCGACGGAAGCTTCAAGGAGTGGGTAGGGGTCTGGGGCCTCGGATAGTGACGAGTACAGTTGCAAGAATGAAGACGAAGACGTTTTGCCTTGGTTGGTCAAAAGATCGATGAAGGATTGATACGCCTTGAGTAGACTTTTATACTCGGCGAGCTTCGCCTCGTCATCAAGCTTCTTATAGTCCTTTGTCTTCTGGGCGAGGTCTTTTCGTTGCACAAGTGCATCACGCTGCTGTTCGACGATGTCGGAAGCTGTTGTGTCGAGTTTCGCGATCGTATTGGCCAAGTCAATACCTATGATAGTTCTAAATTAGCACAGCCCACGAAAAACAACCGTAGTCTGTTGATCTGGCGACGTACCTCTCCAGGCTGCGATGGCGCGTTGAAACTTGTTGGTCTCTTCGGTCAATTTGCTGGATGGCACATCAGGTTGGTCTTGGGGAACCAAGCCCTCTGTAATGGCAAAAGAATCCATTGTCCCCGGTCTGCACACCCCACATCAAATAGCCAAGGGGAAAGTTGGAGATCTGTTATCGCGAACAGGACACGCGGCGCACGGGCCGATATTGTTCCGAGTGTACGGACTATACAGTCGGGTTAGATCAAATGTATGAAAGATGGGAGTTGGATTCAACAAAAAGGAGCGTCAATGAAGCATCTGTGCTATGTGTCTACTTGATACCCCTAAGATGACAGCCGTTGTCCCGAGGTATCCGTGTACAGCAGAGTGGGCGATAACGGCCAACGGACATAGATTGTGGTTACCGCCTTGCCATCTAGATACATGATGTTGGCTGATAATGTAGTGTTTCCTATATATGTGGCAGTCTGGGTACATGCTTATCCAGGAGCCTACTAATTAGTAACATGAAGGTATAAAAACCCTAAATATCGTATTTTATGAATCCCTGAAATGAATACTTGGCAAATAGGTTCTGTGGCCGTTATATTTCTGCCGTCCCTGAACCCCTTGAGCTTTGGCCCCAGCTAGTGACCGCCCTAGCTGGTCACTCTCCAATCCCGCGGGGAGAGATGTCAACTACAGCCTCATGATGGCTTTGGACCATGGAATTGGTCCCCGCAAGAGGCGGAGGATCAGTCCTCCAGGGACTGTGCCTTATGTCCTACGATCCCTCTTCGAGGATGTTCCGTTGGCAACCGAGCATAGCTCCGACGTCTACATCACCTGCGTTGAATACTGGAGTAAGCTCTACCCTACGTAGAACTGTAAAGGCTGCATGATCTGTGAATTGAATGCCTACTGACCCTGAAACAGATGAGAATCTATACATCGGCACCTCTGCAGCCGAGATCCTGCACTTCGTATGCCTTCCGCCAGCTTCCCCAGACGAGTCCAGCGAGCCTACCTTTATACTGGCATCCCGATTGCCTATCCTATTCGCCCAAAGCCCCCCAGCCGGGAGTGAACAACAAGGCGTCCGGCAAATAGTTATCTTATCCTCAGTGGGCAAAGCATGTGTTCTCTGCAATGGCACTGTTACGTTCTACATGCTGCCGGAGCTCAGCCCGGCCTTTGGAACTACAAAGGTCAACCAGTGCCGCTGGATCGGTGGTTTAGATCTCAACCGGGATGCAGAGGAAGAGGAAGACCCGACGGTGATGATCGCCGTACAGAACAGGATGATGTTGGTTCAAATCGGGGACGAGGCGCGCCGGATCAAGAAGATCGAGTTCCCTGGTTGCTTGGTTGCGGCACGACGAGGGACCATCGCCTGTGCTGCTGATTCACACTCATATTCATTGCTTGAGGTGGCGCACCAACAGAAGATTCCCCTCTTTCCTATCTCCTCCTCGAGCGAGGTCTTCGAGTCGGGACATGTCGAAGACATGAACCCAGCACCACCGACTCCACTTAAGCGTTCTCCCTCTTCATCCTACCCGAATTCACCACCAGTTGATCCTCGTGGGCATGGTCGAAGCAGTAGCGCAAATACCTTCGTGGGAATGCTCTCACCGCATGCACAAGGGGCTCAGATAGACAGATCACCGTCAGGGACACCGGATCCTTTCACATCTAGTGGGAGCCTTCGAAGATCGAGCTCGGAAGAGCGTGAAAGTGGAAGTTCCCCCAAGCCTGAAAACCAAGAATCAGACAACCACCCTGCAAGCAACGACAACCTCAAGCCATTACCACCTGTGCCGCCACCAACAAAGCAAAGTTCGAAGCGTCTGCAGCCTCATGTGGTTTCTCCGACACCCTCAGAGTTCTTACTAGTCACCGGAACTGAGGCAACGGAGCCGGGTGTTGGAATGTTCGTTGACATGGACGGCGAAGTGGTTCGGGGAACGATCAACTTCCACCGATTTCCCAAGTCAGTTGTAATTGATACGGGTGAAAGTGATCAAATCTTCCAACCAAATGAAGATGCCAAAGAAGAGTTTGTTCTCGCTGTCATCGAAGACGATGAAGAGGGGGAGTCTCGAACTCGACTTGAAATCCAACGCTGGGATGATGACCCAGTCGAGATCGAGCGAAATAAGAGATGGGTCGAGATCCCTCCACCTAGAGAAGGCCGAACCGCCCAAGTTGGTCTCAAGCACACACTCAGCCCCAGCCATCTCGAGCTTAATGAAATTGGTAAGCTGTTACAAATGGTCCGCCTCAAAACCCCTCTGTTATCTCCCCATGCCCCGGTGGCAGATCCAAGAACACACGCATCCATCGAGCAGCTTCAGAAAGAAAAGGAACTATTCGATTCACAAGATTTGACCGACTCCGAGGGACTCAAAAAAGGCGAGGCCTCATCAGAGCAAACTTGGGAGGCTCAACGGAATGCTGAAGAAGCAAAGTTCGCACATGGACTGGGCAAGGCTCAGAGCAGTCTCATCCTGTGGTCTGGCTCTCAAATATGGCGTGTTCTACAGAACCCTTTGGTCGTCCAACTTGAGGACACTCTGCAGAAGGCCCAGGAGACAAACAAAAGCGACCACACAGTACTACACAGAGATGCTGTTTTGGACTTGCTGCTATCAATTCAGGACACAGAGCCAAAGACTGAAGCTGAGTTCATTGGGCTCAGCTACGTGAAGCAAAAGGCGTGCCTCTTACTCTATGGAGACCTTCTCTCTATGCAGCCGAATGACCGTAGTGATTCCGCAATCAAGCAGACCGAACAAGCACTGGTGGCAGGTAACCTTGATCCTCGTCTGGCCTTGCTGCTTATTCCCCTGCTACGATGCGAGGTGCTACAGGGCCCGCAGGGTATATGGATACATGCCGGATTGGCATCAATGGCGATCAAGTACACTCAACAAGTAGGAAAGACAGGCGTTGATACGTCTGGGCTGGATGCTTCCCGCAGTCCAGTCCTTAACATGGTGAAGCGCTTCCTCCTGTCTTGGCAGCAAAAGCGAGGATACGGCAGCATTACCGATGAATCATATGTGTTGGACAGCACTGATGCTGCACTATTGCATTTGACCCTTGAACAAGATGCCTACCTGACAACCGACCAGCGCGTCTCATCACCTCTTCGCTCCGAGCTGAACAGACTAGTTGATAACTGGAAGGGCAACTTCGATCGGGCAGTGATGCTTCTCGAGACATACAAGCGGCTATATGTGCTGAGCCGTTTGTACCAGAGCCAAAAGATGTCTCGGAATGTCCTCAAGACCTGGCGGAGAATTGTGGATGGGGAAACGGACGCCGGCGGAGAGGTCTCCGCATCTGGCGTGGAAACGCAGATGCGTAGGTACTTGGTGAAGATCAAGGATGCACAGCTGGTCGAGGAATATGGCGCTTGGCTGGCTGGGCGGAATCCCGCCCTGGGCATCCAGGTATTTGCGGACAATGCCAGTCGGGTCAGGCTGGAACCAGCGGATGTTGTTTCTTTGCTCAAAGAGCGGGCCCCCAATGCTGTTCAGGCCTACCTGGAGCATCTGGTGTTTGCCAAGAACGTGAGATGCCCCTCCCCCCTTGTATAAACATAACTAACCATGAATATAGTACGCACAATATGCCGACGACCTGATCTCATACTACCTGGACACAGTGATTTCCGTTCTCGAGTCATCACCAGAAGCACGAGCATCCCTAGCCGATTCCTATTCAACCTACCGGGCCCTACGTGCCCCGAAACCAACATACCTAAACTTCATCACGGAAAACACACCTGCAGAACCGTGGTGGCAATCCCGCCTCCGCCTCCTCCAACTCCTAGGCGGAATCTCCAGCTCCCAATTCTCATCCCAACCCCTCCCAACAGGGATAAGCTACTCAATCCCCGCCGTCCTAACCCGCATCGAACCATTCCAAAACGAGCTCGTCTCGGAATGCATCATCCTAGACGGCCTCCAAGGCCACCACCGCGCCGCCCTCCGCCTCCTCACCCACGGCCTAGGCGACTACGACTCCGCAATCCGATACTGCCTCTTCGGCGGCCCGCGCAGCTCTTCCTCTTCAACAGGAACCCCACCAGAACTAGCAGAACATACCCTGCAATCCTCACTCTTCCGTCATCTCCTAGACGAATTCCTTCAAATCAAAGACCTATCAGACCGCATCGAGCGCACAAGCGACCTCCTCGCCCGTTTCGCGGCCTGGTTCGACGTCTGTGAGGTTCTCGAGCTAGTACCGGAGGACTGGAGCGTCGACATCCTCGGCGGCTTCTTCGTGCATGTCTTCCGAACTCTCGTGTCGCAGACACGAGAGACGCGCATCGAGCGTGCCCTCAGTGCAGGTCTAAACTTGCGTATCGGCGCCGAGTACATCGACGGTATGGAGAAGGCAGGGCCCTGGGTTGAAGAGGCCGAGGGCGTGAGGCGGTTGAAGGATGCACAGCCGAGACAGGTTTCTTTGCAGGCTGATGGTTTTGACGATGCCACCGATGACTCTGAGTTTGGGGAGACGGTGGGGCCTGGGGAAGTGGGCCAGTAATGTAGATCTGAGCGCTGATTTGTCCGAGAAAGGGCAGAGGGCTTTGTATAGTTTATGCGTTGGTTTTGAATCTATGATACCTATGCTGTTTGCTTGGAAATTCCATGTTGATTTTGATACTCTTTTTTCTCTCTTTTTTCCTTCTTTCATTCATTTTGTACCTTTGCTTGGGATTGCAAATCCCAAAGATTAGACCATCCCATCCCATCCTTCCCTTTGACATCGGAGAAGAAATAAAAGAAAATAGTCCTGTCCCCATCCTATGGAAACAGCCCTACCATACACATATATTCCAAGTCAAAAAAAAAAAAAAAAAGAGGAAGGATGGATAAAAAAGTGAAAACCATCATATTGCGTTCGTTCCCTTCGTAGCTACTGATGAGCGTAAAGTTCCGGCCGCACGCCGAAAGTCAGGGTTGGCATTGGCATTGAAATTGGCATGAGGGAGACTCTGTTTGGAACTCCGGACTTCTTCCAGACAGAGTGAGCGGAGAGTGCATGTTTACTCCTCTGCTTGCAGGAAGGGGTTGGGGATCTCATCGCTGCCGTCGGCGGGTGAGATCAGTACGATCAGAGTG